TGTCTATTTATTTCGTTTCTTGAAGCGCTAAAAGCTAGTCATTCATCCTATTTCTTCTATGGTTACTATAGTTACCAAAACGATTAGGAATTGGGAAGAAATTTACTTTTCAGTGTTGGGCATGTATGTTGTAGTAAATATTTTAATATTTACAAATTAAATTGTCAAGAAAGAGGGGAATGAGGTTATGTGATCAATAATAACCTCAGAACACATGTCTATAGTTACTAAACGGTTATACTTAACAGTAATCATATACGAATGGAATGATTATTGACGTTATTTATTCGAGGTGTGATACCGTGGTTTTGAGCTCAGGACCTTCGAAACAAAGTTATAAGACTTGCAAAATACTCCTTTTCAATAAAGAAAATTTTTTGTTTGGTCATAGAAAAATGAAAGCAGGTTACAGCGAAGATAATTAGCTTTTCCAGTTGGTATTCATCATGGAGTGATATCAGTTGAAGAAATATTAGAAACGTGGGAGAACTGGACAGCTGATTCGTGTTAGTGTGGGACTCCCTGGAGTTGCCTACCCAGGACTCCGCCAAGAATCAAGCCCAGTACAATGTTCCTCTAGCTGATGTCTTTGATGAATGCCAACTTGAAACCAGTAAATCCTCACAAACCTTCATTCTGAATTAATGTAGCGCTCACTGGTGAGTAGCTTGGAGAGTTGACTCGTGAAGTTCCATTGAGAAGTCGTGACCTATAGGTAAACTGGATGACCATGAGGGCAAATATTCAACGATGACATTGGCTGATGGTCGCACTATATCGTGAAGTGATAGAAGTAGGAAATGTGGACCACCGGATCCCGATCCAGTGGCTCATTGCTACGGAACCTGAAGGTCCCAGGTGAGACCCCTGGGAGGCCCATGGTTGTGCATTGATTACGAGTTTCATACAAGTGCAAAACAGCTGTCCAGTTCCCTCAGGTTTCCAATGTTTCTTCAACTGATATCAGTCCATGATGAATAGCAATTTAGAATCAATAAATCTCCACAGTCCTCCAAATAGAATTCTCTTTTCGACGACTCATTTTCATGGCTGTAAATATAGAAGTGAAAGGTAGAAAGTTTCAGACAGGTTTCTATTCAAAGGTCAAACAATCTATAGATTTATGGGTATTATAAATTGAGATTTGGCGTCTGGTAAATATAAAGAAATGGAAAGGTTATCCCTGCGGAACCTCAAGGTTTTGGGTCCTATCCGTGCCGGGGTCGGGGTGCACACCGCCAATGGATCCCAAACTAGGACGAAACATCTATAAGAACTGTGACGTTTTCAACGGTTTTCCAGATGATGTCAGTCTGCGATGAACGCCAATTTGAAGTGAATTCTTAAAAAACAAATAAACAGAGGTACAGAATATCTGTTTAAGGCCAAGGTAAAGAGTTAGTTAGCATATGGTTCTTTTAAATACACAGTTGAGGTTTGAAGCTGTAAAGTGCCTAAACTTCAGCTCCACTTACTATGATAGAAACAATCAGATACCATTACCAACTTCCATGTGATAGTAATTGATTAGTGTTTGTAGTGAATCCCATTACTAGGCACCACTAAGCAAAATTACACCATAAATAATCTTCAGGCCAGATCAAGGCATCCATATAGAAGCCGATCTGTTTATAGAAACCAATAATTTCATTTCTTGTAGTTCATCTTTTGTGGTAATCTACATAGCTGATTTGAAGTACTCAATAAGTCTATGTTCCCGACAATTATGCAGAGCTGAAACTTCAACAATGCATTCAAAAGGGTTCTGCGAAACTTTGGTCCACACCTTTTTCTTAACATTATGTTTCTTCTTTGAATTTTGTCCCACTTCACTTAGCACATTTGAGTTCGTCACCATTATTACCAGTTTATACTCGACAGAACATGATCCATAATTCATGTCTTCAGATCAGGTTCTTTCTTTTGATGACTAGTTTCATAATTTGTCCAACTGAAACAATCACACCATCTTAATCATCACTACTAACCGTATCATCGGTATATTGACTTTCTAGTTCCTTTTTCTGACGTTTTATCAGTCATATATACAGCCGTACAGTTTGATAATGAAATCGTTGAAAATAAATATATCTTCTCTGGTCGAAATACTATCAAATGTCTGATATATGACCAACAGTTTAGTATTGAACAGAACGTCACTGGCTATGTCTGAAACAGTCCAATACTCAAACCTAAACTGTATCTCTGAAAATATTTACCAAATGAGTTTTGCAATGATCCTGTTCCAGTTATACACAAAAGCGAAGTTGATGAAGTCAGCACTCATTATCAATGAGAAATTAATAAAAAAAAGAATAAGAATAACCTTTCCGGATTGCTGTAGAACGTTAGTTAATTTTAGTTGACTTATTAGAAATATCATACAGTGGAACAGTACTCTTAACTGGATAGAATTCCGGACAATTTATTGTCCATAGTCAAGTCAAAATAATTCCACAACTCCGAAACATGCTTCACATAGCCCCAATCTCACCTTCTTCCTTGAAATATGCATAGTGGGATTTTTCATATATCTGTAAAACGTGTGCAGTCATTCCTGTTATGAGTATTCAGTGTTGACTCAATAACACAAAGGTTCGATATCCGATCTCTACCTCCACCCAATTAAGTTAGTTTCGATGAGTGTCACTTCATCCTGTCCTATTGTGTGATTGTATAATTGCACGCACAGCAATGACTGAGCTATTTTCTAGATCCCGTATCTTACTAAGACCTACAAATCTTTATTTACCTTGGTTTTTGTGCTGTGATAGCCTAACTGACCCTGATCGACTACTTTGACCTATATTCTTGACATTGCAATCACTGTAAGGGATTTGGTGCACTGAATTATTTTGTCTACTTAGATGAAACAACTAAACTAATTAAAATTCAGACTGCATATCTGTGAGCAAATATATGACAGATGAATATTTTCATGCAATTTGAGAGAAAAGTTGTTTAGCTATGAAGAGGAGAATCGTACTAAAAGATTTCGCAACAGATAGACGAGTGGATGAATGTCATATCGATTCCAAGTGCTTGGACTACAAATTATCTGACGAAGATGAATAAAGAGTAATGTCATTAGAATGTGTTTACTCAGCGAAGCAGAAACTGATGGCTAGCTCATCTTTACAAAGGTTCGACTGAGGATGCGAAGCAGGCCTTATTTTCTCTTCATATTTATGAGTTTTAAAGCTTCTGAAGTATCATTTTGATGCCTTATGTTTATTGTATGTCTTCTTATTGTGCCACTGAGTAGCACCTTTGTTCTTTCCATTCATATCTAACTAGTTCAGAAAAGTGAGCGAATGTTCTCCCTTCGATCTTCATAATATAATTTCAATCTTATTTCGTTTTAAATTTGTAGCCATTATCAGAATCCGCGTCAAATAGCTGCTTACTGAGTTTGCATATATTTTAGTGATAGTACGATAACTTACTAGGACATTTACCGGACTACAAGAAAAATCCTTCCCTATAATCTTAATTCTGTGTTCTATTGATATCAGACTTCCTTGGAATACTAAATGAATAAATAGTTTCTTTTTTAAAAATTCGAATATCTTTTTCCTTCAGTCTGTTCCTTCCTTTACTTCTTGATGAAAATCTCAAGGCAGTCATTCTGCAAGGGGCTTTTACTTTACGGTTATTGAGAATAGGTTAATAGCAATATTGTACAAACTCCTGACTTTTCCACGCTCATACCTGGTTTGATAAAGCTGTGATGGTTGAGAAATTTGTCAAGTCCAACTATCTTTTCTTCGAATCATCCGCTTAAGCGAACAATCATTTTATTTTCTCCTGGTGAAATGAAAAAGTTAAGCTGGTTTTTGTTTGACTGTGTAGTAAATATAATATTGTAGCGCTTCTCATTAACACTTTAATGGTGTAAACCAAATGAACAATATCCCGTTGATGTAAATCACGTGAAAGGTCGTTTTCTTAATCATTGAACCCAGATGTGTCTACAGGTTGCCAAACTTCACAGTACATACAGCGAAAAGAAGGATGGATAATGAATGATACAAAAGTAATTTATCTGGAAGGAGGGAAGAAGAATAGGTGAAGTTTAAATATACAAATCCAAATATTCAAGACCTTGAAGGTGAATGAGAGTGTATACGTCTGCACAGTTTTGACTGTTTATGAGCTAAATTATAGGAAGTTTCAGATTATTGATTCCTATCGTATCGACAATCCTATCTAGACAGCCTTCGTCTACCTACACAGCTCACATCATCAGTTAGAGGTATCATGGACTGGTGTTACTCTTCGGTCTACTGACTCTCAACCTTCTTCTTAAATGACCCCATTTCAGTTAACATCACATGACAAAAAGGGGGCATATGTCGAACTACATAACAAATATTACGGCCTTTGAAGTCACCAAAAGTTAGAAATATCATCAACTTACTTACTTTCTTTGCCCAGTACCCCTTGAGTAACTTGAAAACTGCTCATAATAAGATTCCACCATATGCGAGCAATGCTATGAAGGTATCTATGATAAAAAAAATCTCCTACACCTTGATATTTTCTACTTTTAACGGTCATGTCTTATAGCAGCAGAATAGGACAGATGTGTTTATAATTTATAGGAAGCCTAGCACCAACTGAAGTGAAAATATATAGTGGTCCAGTGTATTTATATTTATAGGTTAAACTTGAAAGTAGCTTACCAATCTTTATATTTACTGATCAGTGTTCATCGGAAATCCAGTTCTGCAACATTAAGCAACATGTGTTCTTTTTTTAAGGTTTGAACTCGGACCGTTTATCTTCACGGAGGGAAGATGATTTTCATTCATTTGTGTTAAACAGAATGTAACTTATCTGTGGAAAAGACTTTCCTTCGATAGCTCCTTCTGCAGCATTGTTCATCTGAACACAGTATTTTTGTATAGCCACTGTGAACTTTCTAAATTTTTCATAGTTAATGCACAGTATGATAATTATTGAACTGATCTTTTTTTCTTTTTCTCTTTACAATCTAGCCTATCCATAAGCCGTATTATAATTTCCTTAATGAATCTATAAATATTGCAATGTTGTTGGCTGGTGGTATTGACAATAGTCATCAAGCTGAAACTTTGATCAAATCACTACTATTCAATCAGAAAAGATGGTATAAATCAAAGGATGGATGTTGTACTTTCACGCATTTCCCACATTTCTACACAGATTGGCTAACAATGGTTAATAGGGTTCATCCCCAAGTGGATAATGATCAAAGATTATCACTTGTCTTTCATTTCATTGTTGATCATCAAGCCCATAAATTTATACTTGAATTAATGACTGACTGGAATTTGGAGGGGATAACTACTCAATTTTATGAGATTGAAAAATATGAAGTTAGTGGACCTTTTCATTGGTACTTTACTGTTATGTGCTATTTTGAAGATAAATACGTAAGCAATCTAAAGAGAAATACGAACAGCAACAATAACACAGGTATGAGTAATGATTCTACTACTGCTAATAATAATGGTAGCAGTAATGGTGATGGACTGGAGAGAGAATTCATAGCCTCTGTTACCATGCAAAGAAGGCACCTCAGAAGTGTTATGAAAAATTCTAAAACAAGGATGAGATTAAAGTGGCATTTAAATCTACAGGGTCACTCTGTGTAAGAAGTGTATAACTGTCGGCTGTATATGATTCAGCGGTCGGATCGATGCAATTATCAGGATAGGTACATTTTAAAGGTGGTTTCCGCTAACGCTTGGAAGAGATTACTTCACTTATTATGGAATACTTTTATAATATAATTTTTGCTTTGTTATCAATTCATTTGTATTTCTCATTTCACTGTTTTACTGTACAAATTTGCGTCGACTCATCAATGCACCTAATAATAATAATAATAATAATAATAATAATAATAATAATAATAATAATAGTAATAATGATAATAATAATAATTCACTTCCTCTAATTCCTTTTTATTATATAGTACCGGAGAAATATAGTATAGGTGCTTTTAGAGTTGTCTTGTCCAATGTGTTCGTATTGTACTCGACTTTTGTATGGAAGAGACTATACAGGATTACCAACGAGATTTTATTATTATTATTGCTATTATTTGGTAGTGGAGAATAAGGCTTCAGTACCACGTCGCCATTTCACTCTCTTCTCTCCAGTCTTCTCAACCTGGCTCCACCACTGCCCATAACCCTTCATTTTTTCCTCACACCATCTCCTACATGTCACCCTCGCCTCGAACGCCCAACTCGTCATCTCCCAATTGGCTGCAATTCAACGGCCTGATATGGCGCGTGACGTCCTCAAATAGTCTTCTCAGTGTATGCCCAGTCAACTTTCTTCTACAAATTTGTTGGACGATGGGTTGTTGATTGGTTCGTTGCCAGCCAGACAGCCAGAGTTCCATGTTGCTTATTCTGACTATTCTGGCCATCCGATCATCACTGTCAGTATCAAGTGACCGTAGGTGGTAGCTGTTGATGAGTGTCTGCAGTTCATTGCAAATGCTTTTCGTGACGCACTAAGTCTCAACCATCACACAGAAGCACTGAGTTGACTGACTTAGTGTTGAAAATCTGGATGTTGTTCACGCTTTATGCTGAGTGCAGTGCAGTAGATCTGCACACTGATTTCAGGTTAATGCAGGAAGGCCTGTCTTACTGTCTTTCAGATACTGACTTTGACGTCCTCATCTGTGCCACCACCGCTGCCTGTAGTTGAGACGATGCTGCCTAGGTAGGTGAGAGAGATTGCTTCCTTTAGATTTCTCTCGTTGATGATTGTGATTGGTGCTTGCTGGTGTTGTTGTGGTTGTCGTTGTTTGGGTATGTTCACCACCAGTGTCTTCTCTACGTTCACCTCAGAGAAATTCCCATCTTCGCTGCTTCGCCTTTTCTCTCAACTTCTTGCTTTTGCCTGTAGATCTTCGAGTTTGTGTGACATGAGATATAAATCATCATCGGAGGCGGAATCCAAATCTCCTTCTGCGGTCTTTTCATCGGTCCACCCAGACACTCCCAATCTTCTCGCTCCCCACATTTCATTGCATGATCCAGCCAACTACAATCAGAAAGATCATCAGTGGTAGATGGTTGGCAACCTTGTCTTGCGTCTTGCTGTCTTTACTTCAAACGCATCACTGAGCTTTCCAATGTGAATCACTCGGCATGTAGCATCACATATAGCTGCTGTTGAATGAGGTTGCTGGAGGTTTGTGAGACTAAAACTGTAGTGTTGAAGCAGCTGCCTGCCAAATTACTTCTCGGTCGACGCTGTCGAAAGCCTTTTCAAAATCGATGAAGTTGAGGTTGAGCTGAGTTGACTGCGATTCATTGTTCTGTTCTATGATGATGTGTGGTGTAGGGTTGCAATTTGATGCGCACATGACTTGTTCTTCCTAAAGCCAGCCAGCCAGCCAGTGTGTTCTGGTGATAATTTTGACTGCAGAGGATTATTTAGTTTCTTGAGGATGATCTGGCATAATATTTTGCTTGCAGTGGAACTAATAAGACTTAATCAGTGTAACAGAAGTGTAAATATACATTCCATTCGAAAAGAAGCCCAAGGAGACATTTGAGTAAGCACTAAGTAATTGAAAGAAGAAAATCTTCTTTTCGACAATTCATTTTCAGTTGCTGTAAAATCATATTCATAGTAGTAATGTTGATATTAGCTAATAAGTCAATACTGAGTCGTGAGAACGGAATGTTCTGGAATCGCGTTAGGTGTTTGGAAAGACACACACAATGCATGATAAGGTTTCTTGCCATTGTTTCTCATGGAAAATAAGAAATTCAGACCACCTAATTTGATCAAATCAACACCATAATTGGTGTCAAGTTTTCGAGCGTAAAGCTGCACATAATGTTCTAGGAAGAAGTAGCAGGTCATTCCTAGAATTAGAAGATTGTGTGACCATAAAATGCATAAGGAAAGTACACAGTCGATCACGGTGATGACCAATAGGTCTAAACTAATAATACTATCTACAATCCATTAGTGAAGTAAATATTGCTTGAATTCCAATAAAAAGTAGATACAGATGTAGAAAAGTAAACCATAAAGTAGAACCAATTAAACTAATTTGTCAGTAGGCGTAAGACGAATGTTGAAACAGCGAAGAAACTTGAGACCGGACTATGACCATGTAAAAATAAGAGAACCGACAACACTTTTCCTTACACAGAGCTCGAAAGTTAGTTGTTGGGTTACCGATGCCATGGCTATAAATAACAGGCAAATTGTATTCACCCCACGCTTTTGGAAATCATCTCACGTAGTGTTTCCAATACTCTTTTGTTATGCCGTATGGTAATGATTTGTCAAGATGGCTTTCAAACAACTTTTTTTTATTGAACTAAATATCACTGCTAATTATATAGCTAGGTAATAGGTAGAAGTGTTTCGTACATCATTTGTGGGTATGATTTGATAACATATCTTATGAACCATAATAGTAGCATGTTTCCTACTGGAATTACTTAATTAAGCCACTCAGATTCCCATTAAGATGCGTTCATTTGGTTGAAGAGATTGGTTAATGGTTTATTCATCGCCTTCGCGTGATCCCATCAGTATATTTTCGTCAAATCTAAATTGGTCAGTTCATAATCTACCACACTAGCCAGGCTTTATCTGCGTACTAACAGTTACCCAATGGTCATTCAGGAGTTCGCTGAAATTAACTCTAGTCAACCTTGTAGATGCGATTTTGAAGGAAACATATTATCTTACAAAAAACTGATTTCTAGCTAGTTGTTCATTCAATTTGTACGATTTCTGTTTGCATGAGTATAGAATAAGATAAATTTATTTTGTAGTTAGTTTATGCAGGAAGGTGACAGTTATCCTTCTATCGTTCATGTGTTAGCCGGAAAATTCACATTTGTTGATTAAGATGGGAATGATTAGTGGTCAGTAGTTTAGTTGGTAGACTATCTGACTATTTAGCCGGAAATTTTGATTTTTATCTGATTGTATTCTCTACTTACCCCCTGACTATAATCCCATATACTTCTGATCTGTTCGTTTTTCACATTCATTTCTTTTTCACCCTCTTTACCCTCAAGTTTGCATATTTACCAATGATGTCTCACTGTAGTTGGCTTATTCCGTAAAATCATGGAAGCTAAAGATTGTGATTCAGTGACTGAAAAGGAATAATTTGAACCCCGGTTTGAAACTTGGGTTTCCAGGCAGTAAGGTATATGCACTAGTAAGGAGTTTTAAAAGATAAGGTGAAAGAACGATACGGTGCACTTTAACTTTATTTAACAGATAAATGAAAATTATCTATACATAGTTGTTGTTATTACCGGTGTTTTTTTTCATTCATACTAGAAACAAATAAAGTCGTTCAAATCTGGACACTATTCTGGACATAGAAGTTATCTTAAACTATTGATTACTCAAATTTTACCAGCAAATGTTAACAAGGTGAGTGAAAAAATGTGTGTGTGAGAGAGAGAGGGACAGTACATGTCTTGTTTTTTTCCTCTTTGAAAATGATTTCCATTAGAAAGCAAAATCAGGAGTACGGAGAGTAACTGCTAGGAATTCAAATGTCTGAGGCAACTGATTGGTTCTATTGTAACAGAATTGTTTCAATGTCACTCAGTGGCATGCAGTGGTCTTTGAGGTTAATCAAGGGCTCCGAAGTGAAAATAACATGAATTATTTTGAAGCATTAGTCAAAGTATATCACAAGATGATTAAACTTATACCAGTGGATTGTGGTTCAGTGTTTCCAATCGATTTCAGATCTAAAATATTCTAGCCCTTTTCTAAACAGAAGGATAACAGTTACCTAGTACTAGAAGGTTTCAGAACGGGAAAGTATACCACGAGTTTGATGTAAACCGAATTTCCAGTTGACGAGGACTTTCTAATCGATTATCTTGTTACCTGATTTGTCTAGTTTCTAAAGCATATTTATCGGCTGGATGAAAAATTGTAGCGAATCTCTTCTACAAAGCTAACTTTGAAGTGACCGGCTAATACTCGAATTGCGAATTCCCCTTAGTGATAGGTTCACCACCACACCAACTGCCGTTATACACCCACGAATACTGTGACGCATGACAGTAAATAGTTAGTCACTTTGATAGCAATGAGGTTTATAGAAGATAAGAGTATGAATGCAAAATTTGCTGGATACCTTTCATACAGTAAGTGTGGCTCAAATCCTGTTAAATAAAGCTACACCAGTATAAGTTGTATTGTATCAGACATAGAATCAGACCTGGGTAATAAAAAGAACTACACTGACTGTGCTATTCTGCTTATTGGCGTTCAGGTTACTGATAATCCCTATTAATAATGATATGAAATTATTCGATCGCAGTTAATGAGTTATATGAAGTCGATAGTCGAAGTATCTTATCGGACCATCAAGTCTTCCGTTACTTGGTCAGTTAATTAGTCAGTATCTACATAGGGCCTAGCATCACTATGTAACGCTGTAAGTCACCATAGCCCACATCAGTACAATAAAATACAAAGTGTCTTGACAAAAGATATAAGAACAGAAAGAAGATAAAACCAGAATTCTTAGGACTTCATAAAAATAAAAGAAGAGGAGGTAGAACTAGAAGTAAAACGCAGTGTGACGATGAAGATGAAGGTAAGAGGCAGATACATTTGGGTCACTGACATCCATTCTGAGTCATTTCTCCTACAGTCTCCAGCCTTTAATTTTCTCGATCACAACCTAGATGTTTACATTCACCTATAAGACTCAGAACAACATTCACAAACACTACTGACTGATGGGGTATTTTAGTCATGCTGCTTTTTATCTTTACCACCCTAAAGGTTAAAAGTGAACAGTCTAGTGTAAATTTAACTGAATATCATCAATTCGTACTTATTTCACTTCAAGGTAAAGATACAATAGTAATGTAGTCCATAATCACTCACTTGGATGCAGATAAATCCAACTGATGAGTCATAAATGAGAGGAAACACGAGTCCTAAATTCCTGAGCTGGCCGTCACCAAAAGAATAATATCAGAGTCATGAAATCCGATTTCATCCATATCTGATGTATATATTCCTTTTCGAAATATATTCTGAATTATGCATAAATTATAGTCATATCACGGTTCTAGTCCTAGTCTAAAAGTCTACAAGTTGGGCAAGTTTTGAAACTCCCCATTTGACTGAATTTAATTCAGTCCACTATACAAGTTAGAAACACATGACTGATAGCTCTTCATCGCAATAGTTATTCTTATTTTGTGACATAACAATTTAGAATCCTGGATTCCACTGCTACCCACTACCCATCATTACCATAGAATCTTTTGGTTTGAACCATGTGACTAGCAAATAAGAATTATTTTTCATTTCAACTTGAAGTAATTTCTGTAATTTCTATGAGAAGATTAGAGTTCGATAACTATTTCAGTTTACAAATTTGATGAATCTCATTCTTATTATTTACAGGTTATTCTACTGGATTCCGACATTCTACTAAATGATGATATTACAAATCTTTGGAGGTTATTTGATGAATTCAATCAAGATCAGGTAGGATTATCTCAGCAACATGTCATAAAAATATTGATCTTCTGCCTGCGAGCAGATGATGAGTTCTGGAACATGGAAGTGATATTGCCAAGTAAATGAATTATGTAGTTATGTGGAGCTATTTCTTGGCCACTCATTCCTTAAACTTGATTGCTAATCAATCACAGAGACTTCAAGCGTCGTTGCAGGCATATGAACACCTAGCTGTTTGGTTACAGCAAAAGGTCAACATCTCTAATTTCCACTTTAAACGTGGCAACTTGACAACTTATGAACAGTTCCAAAATAAGAAGCAGCAACTTTTCAGTACTTCATTTCTAGTCATCCTCATTTCGGTCTCATTTCATAAAAAAATATTCTAGGATATCTTTATGTAGTACTTCCCCTACTAATCATTATCGCACAGTAATCAACCAAACGTTAGCTTTTTTGTGAGATTCATAGATGCTACTTACTTTTATTGTCCTTCGACGTTGAACCAATGATCACCAGTCTCTGTAGAAAACATCATTTTTTGATTGTGTAGGTACTAACCTCGTGTCCAGTTGTTCGACTTTTAATTGTCTTACTATTCAGGAACCCCTAATAGCAAAAGTAGAAACTTGACTTATAAGGAAGATAGGACCTTTTAGCCTCAGAATTCAGTAACATACTATTGAAGGAAGTTTGAATAGACACTCAAGTAGGAGAACTGTAATGACGAAGAGACAGATGCACCATTCAAAAACATAATGTATTTGGTAAATAACTGTGCTTCTTGTGTCATCATCACTTACTATCAACCGAGTGGATGACTTTCAGTGACTGAAAACTGACAGTGATTTGAATTCAGTTAGAAGGTTTGTTGAGATTGGCTGATTGATTGATTCCAAGAGAATAAAGACTTCGAGGACCAATTTTTTCAGTCATGTTACCTTCTCCAGTTATGCAGTCCTATTTAAATGGTGGCAATATTTCTTAGTCAATAAGTTTTAGTAGTTTTTGGTCATGAAAATAATATGGGACCAGAAATTACGTAAGAAATATGGAAGTGTTTGACAACGTGAGTAACTGTTAACTGTAAGTAGAATATCCGTGATAAAGTGAGTATGCACTTGTGAGTGAACAAAACAATAATGGTTTTGAAAGTGAGCTAAAGGGAGATTGCTTACCCTATAACAATATGAAAAGTAAGAGATCAGTTAGATTTGAGAACTGGAAAGTTTGAGAAGTGAGAAGTGGATAAGAACAGGGAATGTTAAAGTCGTTTCTGGATACATAATTCCGGTTCCTATGGTTGTGTTCCCAGAGCTTCAGTATTACAACGTAAAAGTTTCCTAACAACTTTCGGAAGACTACGGTGTACTTTGTGGACTAGTGCAAACAACTCTTCTGGAACAATGTGTCCGCTGTCAGTCAAATATTGTTATATTCATCTGTTGATCGGTTTGCGTTGATCTTTATTGAATCATGCTGGAGGGTATTGGAGTCAATTTTAAGATAGTTTTCATCACGGACTGATATCCTTTCCGGAAATATTGGAAACCTGGGAACACTGAACAGCTATTTTGTCCCGTTTTGGGAATCCACAGCAGTTAACATCTATACATCCGCGAGAACGTTTTCATACAACTACTGGATCAGAGTTCAATGGTCTACATTTTCCTACCTCTGTCAATCTGCGTTACAGAGCAACCAGCATACAGTGCCATGCAAGGACAAAATGGCTGTTCAATCCTCTAAAGTTTTCAATGGTTCTCCAATCGACTTCAGTCTGTGGTGAATACCGACTTGAAATTCACCAACAAACCTGACAAGTCTACAAACTGAATTATGGTCTGGAGCTCACTAAAGACATGCTTCTAGATATATTCCCTGACTTCTAATGTAAATTCGTGACCTACCTGGTCAATTATTTCCGGCAATGGAATAAATAATCACCGATGATATAGGATGGCAGTTGCGCTATGTCGCAAATTAACACAGTTAAGATGATATGGACCATTGTATTGCAATATAGTGATCAGATATTAACACGCTAACTACAAGACCAAATGTTACTGAGCTCTATTCCTCTTGAGGTCTTGGGTGTTCATTGCTGGGTAGTCATGTACTAGAACGAAATCACTCTTTAATGTTCACAGGCTTTGAATAGTTCTGCAACTTATTTCACTCCGTGAAGAATACTCCACTGAAACCACCTGAACAAATGTTTCCAGTCAAATAAAAGCTACCATTAAGCAGAATAAATCCCGTTCATTCTTTTGTCCTCAACGCTGACTGAAGTTCGTCGATGAGGTGGTCTTTGACATACGCTGCTACATTATTGTCTACTTTCATTGAGTGTTTTAGGGCGATTGGTGATTCCTGAAATTCCTGTCTATTTGAGGGAGCTATGCAACTGTGTTGGGTCTCCACTTTCACTGACTAACGTAAATAAAGCTAATAACCCGTACAATTGAAATGAGTGCACATATCAACGGTCCTGGGCTGACAGTTGTCATGCTGCAGACGAAGTTATTGACTTAAAAGTCAGAGTCACTTACAGCAATCTTATCTATTTAGCATTAGAGGATTTTGTATCGATTTTCTTTACATCTCATAAATGTATCCTTTTGCAGTAGTGTAAACCAGTATGCTAAGAATTTACTTTTTAAAGGGGTGCTTTTTAAAAGATTGACTCATTCCAGGGTTATTTCTTCCTGGTCAATTCACATTATACAGAGAAACATGAAAAAGTAAAGAGTGCTGAACAACTTCGTTCATCCTGGATTCCGACTTAAAAAGCTGTATTCACTCATAATTGCTTATGAAAATAAGGTCAAGAAATATGCTTTGAATAAATGATAAACTTTTGTTTACTGTCACTTGGTGTCTTTGTATGAAAATGGATAACAATACCAGATTATATGACTTTTTATTTTCATAGTGTATCGGGATTGTGGCTGAACAAAATCCAACGTTTTACTACAATATGGGACAACAATTTTGGCCTAAATTGGTAAGATTCATATTTTTATAGATTATTAGTGTATGGCTGGAGTTTGTTGGTATGAGATTTTCATTACACGTTAAACTGTTTTCCAACTTGGCCAAACTTTCCTATATGGACATTTACACGTCATCCTGTGGTTGGAACACAGCTATATACTTGTACGTTTTTATTTCGCTTCAACAGCAAACGGTGAGTAATTAAGGGGTGACTAAAAGGGGTATTGACAAGTGTTACCATTTTTCTGAGTTGTTAACTTTGCCGAATCCCTCAGCCAGTAAGCGTCTAAGTTTCCGTGGACTGGAACTCAGTTACAAGTCACTTTATTGCCCCAGAGCTCCATTTTGTCCTCATATATGCAAGCACACACAAGTCTTTTCTCTCATTTTGTTATGGTTCGAAGCGCTTAGCTGACAGCTAACTTGGTACTCAAGAGACACTAACTGCAACCGCGGGACGAATAGAGAGAAGATCAAAGCTGGATGATGGGAGAGTTTATTACACCGGGAATATAATAATGAATCAATCCAAAACACATGAATAAGTATACACATGAAAAATGACCTTGTCCTCAATTTGAGGCATTTGCATAGTAAGAGTAAAGATTGACCAATTACAATGGGGGCAGAAAATAGACTATTAATCATGCCGTAAAAATGGTGTGGGAATGACACTTTAAAATGATCAGATCAATAACAATGTTTTATATGAAACTGGGGCATCACAACACATTTGACATGAGATTCATACGTAATCCAGTCCTACAAGAGTTGAATCTCTCAGATGACATTAGTTCCCTTGAGGTTGCAGATACACCTTGCTGAATAGAGCAAAGAAGCACCAAGCCTAGGTGCAGGACTTCCTGCTGACTGCCTCCAACCAGGTAACATTCGTCAAAGTGCACAGTGACGGTCATCCTCCTAGCTTGGTTGCCACCTTGCAAAATGATCCATAAAATTTGGTCAGCAGTCAGGACTGGGTAACATGCAATTGACTTGTCGTTAGTGATCAATCAGTGTATGTCGATATGTCGATATGTCGACTTGAAGATGTGCTATTGACAGTATGCAAGATATGTAGTCAAAACGTCGCAGAAGCTGAATAAACATCTTTGGCGTCATATATATGCATACATATGTTTTGTGTGACGGTTTCATTCGTTATGGGGTGCGATGAATCTGTTGTTTTGCCATGAGCTGAACCTAAAGATACTCTGTAGAAGATGCCTGTCACCACACAACTTTCCATCTTTTGAAAACTTGGATCATCCACGTATGTTGAAGCAAAGTTCAGTCTAGATTATTAACAGCTATTACAAAGATCCTGGCTACTAGACCACACAATCAAATCTGTGTGCCTGTCAACCTTAATTCAACAAAATCTGATTGAGTGTAGCGCAAAACTAATCTGAATGAAAAGCTACACAGTGTCCTGAAAGGAATTCAAGGATGATGACTATCTTGAAACTATGTGTCCCGGCAGTGACCCTAATCTGATTCAAAGAATCATAAAGGTAAATCTTTGTCAGGAAATTTTCAATCTAAGTTTTATTGGTTTCAGTGTTAAAATGTCGTCATACAGTACACACTGAACGTAAAGAATTCAAAGACCATATAAACTTATTAGTGGTGTTGAATTACATCACTGGGAAACTATTAGCTTGTAGCCTTTCTGTATAATGGATCATCGACCTAGGAATTACTTGTTCATATATAAGATCACAAACGAACTGGTGTTATCTCGCTTTTAAGCGAAGGTCAGAATCAGTCAGCTGTTAAGGGACTTTTAACTGATATAGCGATTCAGCTATTATTATATATACTTGAAAGGATTCTGGATATACATTTTAATTCTGAGTTTCCTCCCGCTGTTTTTGCATCCCTATTAATGACTTGGAATTTTTGTAGAACTTCAGACTTATTATAGACTCAAGTCAACACAATAACGTTGAAATTAAGTTTTTTTCAAGTAGATTAAAGATCATTTGGTTAGAATTAGTATCTAAGTTACCGACTGTTACAATCCTGCAAGAGATACCTGACATCTGTGTTTCGCAATTTCTCAGGAAATCGAAATACTGAACGGGTAACGACGTGATACTCAATAGTTCCGATTATGTTAGATATACATCAAGGAAAATTAGGTAACACGTGGTGTTGGGAAGTTTTCAACCTGTTCCAAAATTATGATAGACATATTTACTGCACTGAAACTGGGACATGTCGACAACTTTTCAACACACATATGGTTTCGAACTTGGTAATCAGTGCAGTCAGGAAGAAGAATAAACTACATTGGACTGCAAAATAAAGTGAAGAGAAGATGATGGTATACATTTGGGCGTTTGTACGAAAGTGTTACAATAATGGATACTTAGATTTCCCGTTGTTGCATTCATTACCTATTAAGACGAACTTGAGTGTTTGAGTCGTGAGTTTGGTTAGTGAGATGGCAAATCTAAATGAAGGATTAGAATACATCAAAGAGATAAAGCTAAATAACTCTATCCTAGAAGTTATGGAGCATTTTGTAAGACCTAGTAAAGAAAAGAGAAATAGCTGTGTAAGCAGTAGTCACAACGTGATCAAGAATAAATTTAAGGTCGTTGATAGTGTTGACAAATAAGAATGGAAATCAAACGTTCCATCTTGTATTCTTAGTAAAGCCAAGATAAGAGTGGCAATGAAATTCTCGGACTCACTCAAAGCAAAACTTTTAGGGGACATAAGTCGATGCTGATCCAGTCAAGGAAAATAATTTGACCTGTGAAATACCATACAATGGTTGAAACGTTGAGTACATCGACCAAGGCAACCGAACAGGGCTAGTCAGGAGATGAGGTAGAAGCTCTGAACTAAATAAGCCTCTGTGAATAACCGATGTGTCTATCTAACTTCCAGTGCTAAGTACTGAATGATGTCAATACAAAACTGTGGTGCACTGCATTTAGGGTGACCTTTAAGTTTTCAGTGCTCAGAGTTGACTGAAGTCTATCAGTGTCATCCGCAATGTGTACACTAATGTAAGTGACATGTCATTGTAGTGTACTGTATTTTGATGTTAGGTATAGAAGATCAGCCGTGTAAATAATCCAGTTTTAGAAGAGATCAGTGTTTGCCCAAATAATTACATAAGACTTCTTGGCCCATTATCTGCAAACATCTTACAGCCTTAGCTCTGTGCTACCATTATGGTCGAATCAAATAATTTAGGGGAATTGAAACAAGAATATTATTTAACTGCACTGATTTCCAAGACAATAATAGCAGTAAGAGGTGAACTGTTAGCATATACTGCGAAATGATATGAAGGACGAAGTTTCAGTAACGATATCCATAAACAGCTATCTTAACAAATCACATTAATTTGCTACTGTTACTTCACAGCTGTTTTTCACATCGAAAGTTGAACTAATTGGCCTATAACACTTGATGAGTGTGTTCAGTTGACCGGATATATCATTAATTGGTGTAGTTAACGGTGTTTATTTGCTACGTCTGCGTTATTAGTCTTCAGTAATTACTGACCAAAAAACAATCATATTTCTTACTGTGAATCAACCAGATTTAAGAATTGTAATTGCGATCTGTAGGTTCAGTGAACAATAGATCATTTGTAGAGACAAAGGTCATTTACCGTTATTTCCCATGGAAACGGTGAATACTAGTTACGTATTCAAGTAAATTGATGACTAAATTGGTTGACGGAGCTAATCAGTACTATGTATCACTATATGAACAGTAGGAAATCTTTACCAAAGAGCACAAATTGGAACTGGATAAACTACACGTAAAGGCAGATTTCGTTAGATTCAGATCTCATGAAGGATTTCGTGATGTCATAATGAACAAAAATGATAATGTAAATACAGTGTTAACAATTCTTAGTGATCCAATATGATTCTAGTTGTATGGTACTAAAAAGAATGTTGTATTTACATTTGAAAACAAAATGAAGAAATTAATTGTTAATATAACATATAATGAACTCAACTTAAGAGGTTCACATCTTCACTTATGTGTTGTTTACCCAGAATTCATAAGTCTAATGTACTTTTGAGGCACATAGTTTCAGTGGTTAATTCGCCATGTCACAAGCTGGTGAAATGGTTAGTGAAATATTTAGAACCCGTCTAGAGTAAGTTGACGATTCACAACTTAAAAAGTATCTTTGAATTTTCTCACGAAATAGATCATGTTGACGTCACAGACAAGTTCATGATATCATACAATATGATTTCCTTATTTACAAACATACCAGTCAGTGAAACGATTGATATAATCTGTCAACAAACTGATCGGCTACCGTTGCCAGAAATTGAATTGAAACAGTTACTGCTACAAAGGGTGTCCAAAATCATTTCAATAACTAGCTTTATGAACAGATTTATTGAGTGGCAATGAGTTCACCTCCAGGACGTATCCTAGCAGATTTCTTCATGGTTTATTTCAAACAGATGCACCTGAGTTCAATCATCAGCGAAACAACCTCTTACCACAGTTTCGTTGACGACACCTTTGTTGTTTATGATGATATGGAACATGCAAGTGATTTGTTTGACAAACTCAAAGACTGTCATCATAGTATTAAATTTACGATTGAATACTAGCAGGAAAACGGTTTCAGCTTTTGGGAATCAACACAAGAAGAAGAATTGATGGTACCTTTGAAAAGACTGTCCATAAAAAAGACACATGGACTGGACAGTACCTTAGCTATCATACTTTCTGTCATATCAGCTATAAGCGTAGTCTACTAGAAACACTTTACAACAGAGCTAGAAACTTATATCTGTTGACAAGTTAGAGGAAGACCTAAATATTAGTGAGAAGTGTAACCAAGACAATAGATATTCCAAGAGATTTATTGTAAAACATGGAAAAGAACAGATTAAGGGTAATAAACAAACCTTGAAAAGCTTTTATACATTTTACATTTAGGGAAGATGCAGTATCCAAGCAAATAGAAGAAAGAATCAAAGTAGCACTGGAAAGGAGCTTTCCTACAGCTGGACTAATCAACGCATTAGGATATTATTATATAACCCTATGTGTTTTGTTTCATTCTTTTTACTGAAGTTGTAGCTTTCCGTTCTGTATTTTGATAGTGTTAGTTTCACCGTGTATTTCGCTGATACCTAACCTATGCCGCTTTTGACAATAAACCAGTTTGATTAACCTATGGGTAATATGAACTTCAAAAAAGCAAAATATGCATAGAAATTTGGTATTAATCATGGATTGACATCATTTGGAGGAACTTTAGAAACCTGAGAGCACTGGACAGCTGTTTCGTCCTAGTATGAGACTCCTCGGCAGTGTGCATCCATAACTCCACCAGGGATCGAACCCGCGACCTTCAGGTTCTGTGGTCAGCTCATTGTTGACTAGATTCGAAAGGTGGTTCCTGAAATTCCGATGAGAAGTCGAGATAGGGATCCGAAACTGGTAACCATGAAGACAAATCCTCAGCGATGGTATTGGGTGACAGTCACTCTATGTTGTGAACTGACAGAAGCAAGAAATATGGACAGCTGGCTCAATGGTAACGTGCTGGCCATGGAACCTGAAGGTCCTGGGTTTGGTCCTTGGTGGGGCCATGGTTGAGCACTGCTGAGGAGTCCCATACTAGGACGAAACAGCTGTCCAGTGCTCTCATGCAAAAATGAACTATCAGTAAAGTCATATATGATGTAGATTTTGTATACTTTTTTTCTTGTTTTTTTCAATAAGGGTTTTGGTTACAATGCCGGACTCCTGCTAATCGATTTGTCTAAACTTCGGGCACGCCAGTGGAATAGACTCTGGTTGAAAATTGCATTTAATCTCATGAAACAGAAGAGAATCTTACCAACTGCTGAACAGGTAGGTGGAGATAAGTATGGTACATTCAACATAATTTATATGTGTCCTAGTGTATTTTTAAAACTATACTTTTAGTCGGTGAACGCATCAACGACCTTGAAAAAACCAATCAGATTTCAGATAAGACATAAACGTTCAGCGGCATAAAAGCCTGTAATAGTAATAATAATAATAATGATAATAAAGTACCGGTACGAAGTAATTTTAGGAAACATTTTCGATTAAAGTAACTCATTTATTCATTAGAATGTTTACAGAGAAACCTACCTAACATATGGCGGTTGATTTTTAATACATTGGTGGACTACCAATCTTTATGCATTGTGACATAGTAACGAAATACGATTACGAATCTGAAAGCATAACTGTCAATGACCAATCTGCACACTGTGATAGGAAATTTTACATTGTCAGCAGTTGTCTTATCAGTTTATTTGCATTATCACTGATTACGCAATATAAGGGGCGTAGACTGAGCAGGTACATCCAGCTGACGAGTCCCAAATAGAATCAGACGCGCATCCTGCATTCCACTGCCAACCACTATCCGTCATCAGTATATAATCAAAACAGGTAATTTCGAGGCATCTGGCATGAGCCTATATCCAAACAGAGATGGATCAATTCGGTCCAGTCATCGACGGCATAATACAAACCGCAACAATGAACCCATAGGCGTTTGAATTCTTTAGTGGGAGAATGGAATTTATTTAAAGCTTAAAGGTACACTTTGATTAATGACAATAAATATATGATAATTAATTGAACTAAGCACTTCTATTAAGTAAATTCACACTTATCAAGCCAGTGCGCTTGGTGACTGATAATTTGGTTAGTGCGTTTCAGTAAGCAGTGAGAACTTGAACTTGGTATTACTTTCTGTTCAGTCGTTGATCTGTTTAATTAATGAATCGGTATATTCCGAAAAAATTTTTGAAACTCTGATATAACAGAATAAATACAAAGATAGCTGATTAGATAGATTAGAATTGGAGGGGGTATAGGACGTATATTACAGTAAATATCTGTTCAACATATTTCAGATGATACATTAATTCTGTAATATCTAAAACCGAATCCAGACTATCTAAGTAAGAGTAAATAAGGTGAAATTGAACCAGAATTAAATCACTTATTGTCAGGGCCAGTCAGCTGCAAGTACCACGCTGTTTGCTCACTTCACCAACTGACCAAACTACACTCTTGATGGGTACCGTTTAATCATCAAATAGGACTAAACATGCATGTTAGTTCTGAGATGAATGGGGATTTTTAACGTAGAAGTAGTATTCATCATGGACTGACATCAGTTGGGGAACCATTGAAAAGCTGGGAGCACTGGACAGCTGTTTCGTCCCAGTATGGGACTCCTCAGCAGCTATGTCATGAATTGACAGAAGTTGGAAAATGTGAACCACTGGGAATCAACCCGTTGGCTGAATGGTTGGCGCGTTCGCCGTGAGACCTGAAGGTCCTGGGTTCGACCCCTAGCTGGGTCGTGGGTGCCCGCCGTTGAGGAGTCCCATACTAGGACGAAACATGCATGTTATTTCTCATTTAGTTATTTGTTCGTGTATATAATCCAATCCCATAGAAGGGTACGTTTTATCTAAGTGGTTAATTTGGATTCAAAGTTCCCAGAGTCAATGGGTTTCTGTTTATGCAGTACACATAAGTACGGAACCTGTGTATTTGGTCATCCCGTCAGCTTAATCGTATTATCTAGCAAATAATGAAACGTATTCAGTTATTCAGTTCCCATTTGAAAACCATCATATTTAATTCATTTTCGTTTGATTTCACTGATCTAATTTTTCTAGCGACTTTAATGGCCACCCTGGCAACTGATGAGATAACTAATTAAGATTCTGTATCTTATGGAAAACTACCTATTCAACCGGAATACCGAAATCTGACTAGTTATTTTAGCAGTTGCCAGGGTGGCCTTTAAAGTCATCCCAGTTTTTCATTTATTCAACATAGTTTAGCGATCATTTACTAATCTTCAACCAATTTCATTTCAATACTGGTCAATTCTCTAAGATAGTGAGTGTAAAAGAGGACATGTGAAATGAATTTTATCACCTTATGATAGGGATCATAGTGATTGGAGAGACAGAGAAGCAGAGAGACGAACAGACAGACACGTTTTTCCTATAGCTCAAAGGCTGCACGTGCGGGATTTACATATATGTAGAGAACTCGAGTTGAATAGTTTGGGTTATTTAACACCTACTAACAGTGGACAGTGGTGAATATTATGAATATGATCGTTTACTATGATCCTCTAATGATGTTTGAAAACTTAGGATCTGTGATTTTCACTGGTACAGAAGCAACTTAAATAAAATGAATGGCAACTTGTAGACATTACTGAAAACTTAATGAAGTGTAATAAGCAGGAAAACGATAGTGACATGTTATACCATGATACCATGATACCATGTTATACCATGATTATAGAAACTTCCTGTTTCCCCCGCCCTTCTAAAACTTTAATTCTTGTTGCTAAATGTTTGAATCAAAGATAATATGGTTGAGATATTATGTCTCAATAATCGAATAATATCACTTGTTCGAATACCAAAACTAGGTGGATGTCAGATAAAGATATGCAGATTATCTAGAACATTTTCGCAATGAATAATTACTAAGACCTAATTTTAATGGATAACAATATAGGTTGCTTATTTTTACGGACGACAACTTCATTCACTTTCAGGTTAACTCATAATTCATTTCCTATTGTTAGTTTAGCACGTAATGAGTACAAGCGGATTGAAGTGACCAGATAGATAATAATAAGTATACAAACGATAATAACTCGATGAGACACTTGAACCGGATGCAAATCATGACTGTTCTCCCTCAGAACCTTATACTTCACTAAGCCGCGTAAATCAGAAGACAGAGATTAGCATGTGGTTGTAAGGAAAGCTCATGACTTGATAAAAACACATTTATATACAGTTTTCATCAACATATAAAACCACTAGGTCGAAAGTTGGACACTTATTTTGATTGGTCAACTGTAGGACAAAATTGTCCAATAAAGTTTTTGTTGACCACACACCAACATGAAACAGAGGTTGAAATTCATAACTTCTACCTTAGCAGCTGATAACTTGAAATGTTGATTTCCATATGGACTGCTTCCTATCACGGATAAAAATTACTGGAAAATTATCAAAGCTTTCAAAGTAGAGTATTTAAGTTACAAGCTTTGGGTATAATCATTCAAAATTCGAGTTAAGAGACATGCTTGGTGATGCATTATATTTGCTTATTAAAACCCCGATGTTAAAAGTTGATTTTAATTTCGAAAAAAATATTTTTGCAGCTATTAAAACTCACTGTGTCAACCCTCCTGTTATACATGATAATAGATAAATGAAGTTTGTTAGTCAGATGAAAAACGTCAGCGGAAAGCTTACCTTGATCTAGGCTTCATGCATGTTAGCACTCGCCGGCAATGTGTATCGTTGAGGGAAATATTGCTCGTTCAGAAATCCAAACTAGTATCTTTCAGTGATATAGTCAGAGACTACCATCGACCTATATGAAACACTATGGGTCTGTTATTCAGATGATCCAAAAATACACTGATGAGTTACTGCAGAATGATTACCACCATATTGTCCAGTCTTAAGTGTTGATAAGATTCTTTCGATCAATTTTGGACTACACGAAATTGAATCTCCTAGGTTATATTAGTTCTGAAGGTAGTGTTAATCACGGATTAGGATCATTTGCAGAACCATGAAAAAGCTAGGGGAACCGACAATTGTTTCGTTTCACTACGAGATTTGTTTGTAGTGCGGGTCCATGACCCCAACAGGGCGAGAGCTCACAACTTTCAGCTTTTGTAATAAGCACATAATCGTCAATCTACTGGGTCAAACTTAATGGTTTCCTATTTCTACCAGTTTGCGATTTAGTAAAGCTATCCACCACAGCCTTCAGATGGCATCCACTTCATGTTCTACTTGGTTGACCCAACAGGTCGCGGCTTCTCATTAGAACTAGAAGCATGTCACTAATGAGCACTGGAAAGCAATTTAGTATTGATTACAGACCCAAAGGCAGTGAGTTTGACCTCTGCCGGATTCATCGGTGCATACTATTGAGGAGTCTCATTTTAGGGAGAAACAACTGTCTAGAGCACACAGGTTTTCGATGTTTCTCCAGTTGTTGTCCATCCATGATGAATACCAACCTGAAATCAATAAATAAATCTCCACAAACCTCAAACTTAATTCAGAGTTTCATCAAGGTTTAGAATTTGTTTCAACCCTGTATAATCAATAAGAATGCGTTACAGCGATGATTCTCCTAGTTTGATCACCATAGAACAAATTACCTAGCAATCAGGTCTCTATGAGGTGACTTTGATTACTCTTCAGTGATTGATCAACGCAGGAATGAAGTCCGTCGACCCTTCTGGTTTTGAATGGTTACAAAAGTCAATAATTTTCTGTCCGCAGATGATGACTTTATATATATTTGAGACGCAAAATAGATCGTTAGATGCTAATTTTTCTTAGATGGTGGAAGAAGGCAGTGAAAATAAATCAATTTATTCATCTCATATTAGTCAACCGTTTCTCTTCAGTAGTTAAATCCTCAAAAATCTACTAAAATGGGGGAATACATAGTTCTTATTGGTAATCTCTCCCTTTTTTACAGATATTTTTGGTATGTTAAATGGACTAGATGTAGTATGCTAAGAAAAATGTCTGAGTTTATGAAAACTGGCTATTAGTAACTGATAACTAAGATAACATTTTCATTAATTCTACTCTCTGAAATACATCAGCGAAGGATTATACAATATAATATAATTATTATACCCAGTGACACTATAGTTTATTCTGCCATATTTCATGGGAAGGTTATGAAGTTGACGATAATAAGTGGTGTATTCTTGGGTTTCGTCCATACAAGTGCTCATCAGCGAGACTGAACACCTTATGTAATGAGGAGACGTACATCTGCAAAAATTGCGTCTAGCAATATTTTTCTCTTTTTCAATTTTTTTTCATTTGAAGGATGTTATAAATGCTGTACTCAATCAAAATAAAAGATGGCTTTATAAGTTACCATGTGAATGGAATATTCAGTTGAGTGCATTCTCATTGCGTGAACGGTGTCCTGTTATCTGGAAATTTGTGTTGAATACAAAAGATAAACGAGTAGAAAATGAACAGAAAACGATTCCTTTAAGTTATCCCACTGCTAAACTGCTACATTTCAATGCACATGTGAAACCAGAATATTTTTTTCCAACCCCATTACGATTCCCTTCAGCTATTGATAAATGGAATGGGTACTATTCAAGTGAGTCAATGTTTTTGTGATACGAGGAAATCGGTTGTAATTCATCATGAAGTATTTAAAAAACGAATAAAATAGAAAGTTAGCTCGACTGGATTGCTTTTGAATCTGTACAGGTGCACATCTGCCTACACCTTTTAGATTTTCTTATTCATGGGTATTTATGTGCTGTTTTTATCCTCATAGAAGCATGTTAGATAAGGCCAGTCAATTAGCGAGAAGCTCCAACATCTGTCACCATGATTAATTGCACCTTAGTGCCATCTCACTTTGTTTAGTGAGTTTGATAAACAGATTTCCGTCAGTGTAGACCAGCAAGCAGGACTGAACAACTATACTAGTTGTATACAAGTGATCAATTCGTGAACAACATTGGAAGGTAATGAATAGTATCTAACCCATATTTTCTGTACTCCACTATTGGCAATGAAATCATTTACTATTTCTTCCATCTTATAACGACAAGGCAGCTAATCTGGGTTTATCAGCTACTTTTTTGAATTATCACTGCAAAGTTGATAGTTCGACTTCATTCACGTACTCGAAATTCTTCTAGAGTAATTTTGTTGGCAGATTGTTAATCTGCAGCCAAGTTCTACTACTGCTCCAGGGAGTTAAACTGCGATATTATTCAAATTAACTACTCACACCAATATTTCCACACTCGAAGTTTATCTGCCAACTTTTTTATCATGACGATACCATAACTGTCTTAAATTAGTGAATATCGCTCTGACTCTTCCATAAACTATAGAAATTAGGTCAGCCATACTTGTACACCTTTACTCAAATAAAAGAATTAAGTAGTAAATGTAGTAATTTGATATGGAACACGGTTATATAGTGTCGCTTGGTGGATGACAACCTGAATAAAAATACTTCTAATCATATCAACTTTCGAAGTCTGGTTTTTATAGTTTTAGCAGCTCGTATTCTTTGTTTCCAGTGTTAGCAAAGTTTTTGACACCTTCGAAATAGATATTGTGTCAGTCTTGCAGATTTGATGAAGAAAGATTCAGTAATCAATCTATCTCTCCCCATCTAAATATACTAGACCAAACTAAAGTGGTTTTATTCCACTCAGCTTTTTTGGTTGTATGTTTATGTATGTATTACAATGGTGAAATTCTTTTCTAAATTATTGATCTTATTGGGGTCTATATCCAGCTAAATTCCTATCCTGTGATATTCTAACTGACCCTGATCGGTGGATTTGACCTATGTACTTGACGAAACATATACTTTAAGGATGTGGTATATTTTACTACCACTTGAACAAAGAATACGAGGTGATAGGATGATGAAAACTAGATGTCAGAAAGTCCGTGTTTGTGATCAAGAGCAATAATTTATGCTCAAAACCTCAAGTTAGTAATACTGTATAACTGAATGGTGGACAAAATAAAAAAATGTATTATTGATTTAGATTGTAACAGTGTCGAGATTTTACACTTATACACGGACTTATTACAGCCGTCAACTGTCAAATATGATTTGGGACAAAGACAACTGTTGATTTCGTGAGAGCGCTTTGCCTCTCAACGGAGTAAGAATGCTAAAATGGCGAGTTTAAAAGGAATTAGTGAAAATATCCAACGCTGCCTAACCACATTGCTTTTTCAAGATGTTGAAAAGAAGTGGTTTCATGCTCCCTTTTTACCTGAGGTGATTTCGTATAGGGTCTTCAACATGCTAAAGAAGATCTCAAGGCAACCTTTCTCTGAAAGGCAACTATAAAGAGTAGCAATGTTCAACAAATCAGATGCTGCCCATATTTCAAAGAGAACAAGGATTTTTGACCAGCATTACGTATGAGTATACTCGACTCTGTTACACAGAATGAACATGTAAGCAATGAACATGGAATCTGAAGTACTCTAGGTCTGCTTTTTACAAATAATTCTCTACGCTTCTTAAGAAGCCTGCGAATTATGGTAGCAGCTAATACTTTGATGCTACTGGTAGCAGACTGACACTCTGATGCCTTTCTAAGGACGAGATTCATGATGATTTAATTAGCTTAAGTGATGAAACAATTTCAGTCCGTCATACCTTCTCAAGCAATCTAGTTAGTTTCCTGAATACAGTTCTACCACAATTCTCCAAAAAACGGCCAGCAGTAAGTAGTTTGCCGTATGTGTTTTGTGGACATTTGATTCGTGGAGTTCTTCTAAACGTCATATTCGTCAGATGAGTCGGTGCTAACTCACCACTTGGCACAAGAAAGTGAAGCTGGAGTTGGTTGGACAAATGGTGATCTAAATTACTTTCTGAAATACTCGGCCTAGCAATCCCGTTATCTGAAGATTGTTGGCCGGCGTCTCATCTACCTGGTAGATTGTCACACTGACATTAATTTTCTTGCTGTTAGCGGTTCGCATGAGCTGAAACAACTTTCGTCTGTTGTTAGATATAGCTGCAAATACCACCTCACCCATGCATCTTAATCATCAGGCTCTACAGTCTTTACACAAACGCCGCATCATTTATTTGTAACGGAACGATATATACATATATTCTTCCCATCTATTAGAATCGACTAGTAGCAAGTAGCAAGAAACTTGCAAGAGCCTAGTGCTTATGAGAAGAAGCCGCAAGTACCTTCACTCGTAGTTGTTGTGGCGTTTTGTAGTTGCAGCCAATGCAAATGGACATCTGGAGGTTAGACAGCTAAATATTGTCAGCATAAGCACAAAACATAGTTTGACAATAACTGAACCAGAGATCTTATCGAGAAATACCTTCCTGGAATCAATTGCTTTGCGACTGCAGACAACACATATAGAATATTCGTAAACACTGACAATCAGATAAATGAGGCTGTGAGAACAGTTAGAGAGACGAAAACAGAACCCCACCATCTCCCTAAAAACGTAACAATGAAAGGTTAATAAAAGCAATCTAAAGAATTGTAACGAGGAATACAAACGCTGTGGGATGAGTCAAATTCGCATCGTTTTTTGTGTTCTTAGTCTTCTAAACACACAACAGATTCAAAATTAAGACTTCGGCGTCAAACGTAGGTAATTTGTTTCAATCCAAACAATGATCCAGTTCATGTGATGAGGCTTTCATAATTGCGATTCAGGTAAGTGTTTCTAAGTCTTAATTGACTTGTGTATCATCATACGCTATATGACAGCTAAGATATTACCCAAGCGTCCAAAACTGGGCAAATGATTACAACGAGAGCCCTTGAATAATTCAAATAGCAGCGGAGTCCCATAACTATCTTTTATATTCAGTTTAGCTTACCGAATGAGTATATTTATGCCACACCTTTATTTGGTAACCCTATATTCTGCTGTCTTCTCCACAGTTTTCACTTTCGTAAAGTTGATGTGATGCGTAGTAACATGACCTGATGTAAAATTATTTCCTTATTTATCTGATATGTATATCCTTACCAACATTATTTTGATGTTTTATTCTTCCTATTTTTAAATACTGAGTAGTACAATTTTTTCTGCACAAAATACCTATTTCGAGCTCAATGTAAGAGTAGACCTTGGGCACCGTGTTGAGTACAATTCCATATTAGATTATTTATTTGGTAGGCAACTATCTTGAATATAGCCCAATTAACCTCTCTTTTTATTTATTCCAGCAACTCAGTTATCGAGACAGTACCTACAGTTCTATTATAACTTACGAGGTATGAATCGACATTGCTTCATCTGAAAAACAACTTTTTTTCAGAGATTCTCTTACAAAATGTTCATAGGTGTAGCTTGTTATACCTTGAAAACGCTAAAAATTGAACTAATTTTATTTTGTATATCTGCATACTAAATATAGTTGTATTTTTTTCTTCCATAAAAGAACGTAAATGAAATAAAGAAGATGAAAACGTTTACTAGCACAACTTTTAAAGTTATCATAATTTAAGTAGTCAGATGGAACCGAATTCATTTTGTACAACTATTCACGAGCAAGTTGTTAGACAATATACATTGTTCCTTTCCGATCATCTCTGTTAAGACCACGGTTTGTCTATGAAACAACCTGATATGGTCAGCATGTTCCAGAAAAATGTGATCCAAACTTCAAAATGGTAAAATTTCTGACTAATGCAATGAATACTGAGAAGATTTTGCTACTTATAGGGGGTACGAGTTTCAGCTGAAAGTATTATTAGCTAACCACTGGTTACTTAGCCAATAGTTCTTGAACTTGATTAGCTTCAGTCTTATGCTTTAGCTAACACTGATTAGCTCATAAGCTTGTAAACTGAATTACTGTTCGGAGTGTCACACGTGTTAACTGAAAAAGGCAAGCTTTTTTCATGAAATTAATAAATATCTCAGTGTCTTAATAATTTGCGGAACGTAGCTTATTTAAAACGGTTGAAATTAGAGTTCTTCCTCTATCACTTAATTACTGTAGAACGAATGCAGTAATGTATCAATGATATTAGTAAATATTTATCAACACAGAACAGTGTAAGATCAATCCTACTCATTTTGCCTGTTAAAAACCAAGTGTACTGCGCTGCATGCAGTTCTGTCTGTTCTACAATATGACTACAAATTATGGTTACTGCAGGTGGAGGGGACATCATAACAATCGTTACCTTCGTACTATAGACCTTGGCGCCATGGAATTACCATATTAGTAACTCTAAGGTTAGGAGTCGAGATTTAAGTAAAAAAGGCAAGTCAGTTTATTAGTCTGTAAATCTCCATGGACTTAGGTGGCTGGAACATATGTTACGCATCTTAAGTTATCGTCTGCTTCATTGCACGACTTTAGCCAAAGTAGGTTCCAGCTGGAAAATAAGTCGAATCAATCAATCCAAAACATGACATTAGTTCATGAAGTTGCTAACTGTTGCTCTGAGTGATGTAGGAGACTGTAGATTTACAGGTTGTGGTCTTTGTAACGACCGAAATAGGTGGTTGGAGACTCTAGAAGATACGGCGAAGAGTCCATGTCAGACACGGAGATACACCCACACATTATCACCATGCAGAACATCACTATTATTTTATTCCCTCTTATTTTCGTCTTACGACAATACCAGTTTTGACCATTTCTTTGCTTATTTTCCTACCTGTCGTCTTTATCCCAACCATCTTCATGTGTGGATATGAGAGAGGTATTGCACTACGAACCAATAGGCAATAATTCCATGTTACATGTTGTTGATCCTGACTGGTGTTCTCTTTGTCTTCCATGGCAAAGTTTATAAATCAATAACCAAAAGGTTGACTGCAATCTTAGGGAGGGTGATCAGTTTAGTCTAATGCTATTCCATCAGTTAATATGAAAGATTTAATCATCGTAAGTAGTTAATTTCAGAATATTCAGTTGTAAAAACTTGGCAAACTAATAATAAGAAAAACTTTTTTGGCATTCGAACAAAAGAGGAGTTCGTTATATCAAGATGGCAGTCAGCATCTTCGTATTTCACATTCACTCCCCTCTCCCAGGGGTAACAGCAGAATGAACATCAAGGAATCATATGTACCTTTAACCGTCTTAGTTTTTTTCATCCACTTGATCGTTCATAAACTTTTCCTTACCATATACTTTCAAAAGTTATTGATATACCTAGAGTACAAATCCCTTCCCCAATAAAAGCTATATTGTTCAAGATAAACAAAAAAGTTTTAATTGCTTTTTCAGATGAAAGTGCAAGTAACTTTACAGCAAATGATTAGTAGTCTATTTTCTGCCCCCTGTGTAATGTAATTCGCTGATTGGTTAATCTTTACTCTTACTACGTCAATGTCTCAAATTGCGGACAAGGTCATATGTCATGTGTACACATATTGAGGTGTTTTTGGATTGGTTGGTTACTATATTCTCGGAGGAATAGACTCTGCCATCATCCATCTTCGGTCTTCTCTCTATTCATTCTGGGTTGCAGTCGGTGGCTCCTGCGTACGAAATTAGCTGTCAGTTAGGCGTGCTTTTTTTATCCGTTCGGAATATATAACAGAACTTTTATTCAGCAGTAATCGGGTTTGGTTGTAGGCATTCAAAGTTAATAAGAGTTATTTACTAAAATCCAGTGAATTGTGCAGCTTAGTTTTATGAGGCCAGCTTCTTCTGAAACTAAAATAAACATTATCTATTGGGTGACCACTATTATTATTATTTGTCACTTTGGTTCCTAGTGGAACATAGGGCTTCAGTAGCACGCCTCCATTGCACTCTGTTCTTTGCAGTCTTTTCAACCTGGCTCCACGACTGCCCACAAGCTTTCATTTCTTCCCCACATGATCTCCTCCATACCATCCTCTCACACCCAACTTGTCGTTTCCCCTTTGGATTCTATTCGAGGGCCTAGCGCATGATGTCCCCAATCACTCTTCTCCTTCATGTCACCCAACTCGTCGTTTCCCCTTTGGATTCCACTAGAAGGCGTGGCCTGGTGGGTGATGTCTCTAAATGGTTTTCTCAGTGCCTGCCCAATCCATCTCCACTTTCTTCTGTATATTTGTTGGGTGATAGCTTCTTGGTTGGTTCGTTCACACCTACTATTTACTGTATGATATTTATACTGCTAATGAAACTGTCATTATTTTTCAGTTTATCAAAAAGGAATTTAATGCAGTAACTGCAACCCAACACGGAAATAAAACATGGGCATCAAGTAAGAAATAAGTTGAAGAATACTACCTTAAGCAGTAGGTTTCCTAGCTCCTTCGACGCTTTTTTTAATTTATCATCTGACTACTCACATACTACAAAACAGTATAAATAATGGACAGAAAAAAAGTGGGCAGCAGTGATCATATTTCGAAGTAATTTCCAGGTGCTATAGTGTTGTATGAAATTACCTGTTTTCTGTGCTTTGTAAGCATATATTTTGAAGTGAGACTGCAATCGTAAATCCTTTTTGCTATAATTTGAAGGTGAAGTTAACTTACTTTGATTTGTAAACATCATTCTTCATAAATAAATCTACTTACTAGGAGGTGAAAGTACAACTAAAACTTTGCACATGAATACACAGCATGAAACAGTATTCATTGACAGAGGGCGTTTTAGAAACCATAGAAATAGGTAAAAAAATACGCGAACTGTAGCACAGAACGCTAATCCCACAACTAGAATGATAACAACTGGAGATAACTTTTAGCCTCACCTTTAAAAATGAGTGAAGATTGAATCATGATAAGCTGGATAGCGAAATTTCACATACGAAACACAACTTACTAATCCGAAGAAATTAGCTATTTAAAATATACTACTTAAATTCACCTGAAAGTAAGCACAGAATGCCACGATGATAAAGTGAATGACGTTAGTAGTATCAGGATATAAAAGTGAAATGTATTGATTTATTCATGATTTCAATACATTGAATATTCTCATTTAGACACTCATGATTATCAAAAAGGCTCTGTGAAACAGTACGCTGAGTTATTTGTAAAAGGTAGTGAAGTAAATTAGGGGTTGTAATGTAACTAGATTGAAAGTAACAGTCAAACAGAGAGAATTCTCTTATATACCGTTGAAATATGCAGTATGATGTTATTACAATGAGTTCTGGTTAAAAGATAACCGGACCTCATTAAATATTATAGAAGAAAAAGCCGAATATACTTCGGTTAGATGAATAAACAAAAACAGCTTGATTCTGTGATAAATTCACAGGATAAAATAGTTTTTTTACGATTTTCGTTGTCATCTGGTATAATCGAACTTTCAAGTTTTTATTTACCCATAGTTTAAGTGAATGTGATTGAGAAAAACTTTTCAAAAGTAACATTTGCAGGCTTTTCCAGTCAGAAAGAAATGAAGAATTCAGAGGAATAATTGATAAACTATTTTTTTTTCTAAATGAGCACAGTAATGCCCACCTATTTCATGTCCTTTCTCAACAAATATCCCAAGAAAAGATGATGTTGGAGATGTCAATGAATGTAGAAACTGCTTGTGTTTATTTCAAATGATATATATCTTCAGTTTTCCTCCCCGTCAAGACTTATAGATCTCGATGTCGTTGTCTGACGTTGTTGGGCTAACTGATCATCATCATTATTGCTGTTACTGTTATTGTTATTATAAGTATTTATGTGTGACGGTCGACTCCATGGCTGAATTTCACCACTTGTCATGCATAAATTCACTAAAGCGCCAAACCATGCTATCCCAGCAGTTATACTGAAAACAAGCAGCCAATTGTGAACACTTGACTAAAAGAATGAGGAAAGAAAACACATGATGACTGATTCGTGGTAACTGGTTTCAAACAGATAATCAAACTAAAATACATATCATCTGTATACTCATCTAAATTTCTCTTCCTGAAAATTACGGGAGCATACACAACATAATTTATAGATTGGGAGGCTTCGAGAAAGGTTGATTGTATATATATAGTCTATTAACAAAGATATCCTGTTTTCATAATGATGTAAACTATGAAAATAGTTTAGTAGGAAGCACAATCTCTCGATCACTATAGAGATGAATACTTTTGGGTTGATCATATGAACAAATTTCATTTCATTTCATTAACTCTGTATCCTGTTTCCATGATCGTATGAACAATGAAAGTGCATTGAATGTTCAGTGGAGAGTGGTCAACTACATGTTTACTAGTCCTGAGTGCTGATCGAATTCTAATAATCACTTTCTAATGTGATTACCAAGCTAGGAGACTCAATGACATGATTCACTTTGATAGATGTTTGTTGATTTGAGGCGATCTACAGAATTTCAACCCTAAAACAGGCTTCGTGGCTGTTGGCACTTGTCAGTAAGGCGTATCTGCAATCTCAAGAGGACTGATGTCTCCTATGAAACTGGACGTTGTATCACCCAGTACTGAAGTTAGGAAATTTACGACTGAGGATTTTAGGTTGCAGTTTAGCTAACTAACACTGAACCGGTGGCCTCTTCGGAATTTTGCTGCAACCCAGATTTTTATTTCATCTCCAATCATCATCCAATGTCGATAATAGTGTCATCGTTGTTAGCATCAACGAAAATGAGTAATATAGCTCCACTTAACTAAACTGGATGCCAACTGAGTATCTGAATGGTAACGTGCTGGTCACAGAACCTGGAGCTCGTAGGTTCGACCCCTGGTGGCATACGGTCATGAATGTGCACTGGTGAGGAATCGATCTCACCCTATGACGAAACATCTAGGCAGTGCTCCCAGGTTTCCAATGGTTCTGCAACCGATATCAGTCCACAGTGAATACCAACCAGAAATAAATTAGGCAGTTTACAATACAAAATCTCCGGAAGTTTTAAACTGAATCTTGGAGAAGCTTAGATGTGTGCATTGATGAAGCATTCTCAATCAGACCATGATGGCTAGTATATTATCACTCAAAGCTCCACAACCTCCACATAACTTCATTTAAGTTAGCTATTGGGTGAATATCTTTCTGGATGCTTTGATTCACTCATCTAATAAACTTACGATTCAAATATGCAAATATTTTGTACGGGGTCAACTACACTAATTTTGTCCTACCAAAAAAAGAGACAAGAAACGCTCTAGAATTAAAAACCGTTAATGACATGTTTTGTGGTTAGGTTACGTTATACAGACGATTAAATTCCAGTAGCCAAACTTCCTGACAAGAAATTCCAGCCAGTATAATGAGTGATCTTATAGTTGCTTATGATGGTAAAGGCGTCCGGTAAAGAGACCTAAGCATATCATAAGGTTCATTGACTTCTATAGTTTAAATATAGTACCTATCACAAGCTAATATCTCATGAAAGGTCGATTATAAAATGTCAGGAGTGAATAGAGAATTATTCTGTTGACCAATACAAGAGATTTCAACCCTTTATAAAGTTAAATAATTAATATTCAAGCATTGTAGTGAGCATATTACTATTACATCAGTGGATTAGGATCTGTTAGCTCGTTTATTTTAAGTCAAAGTAGTTTTTGTGGTAAACCCTCAAAATTCCAAAAAATCTCAACGACATATATCTTAAGTCATTCGACTTTGACAGATTTTCCCCCTTAAAAGTTGGCTGTCATTGAATGATAGATAATTAGAATGGTTGTGTATGTAACATACTTAAACAATATTAGATATTTTAGTTGCACTTAACGCTTATTACAAAACAACATTGATGATGAGAAATGATCTCTTTTAGGTTTCAATAGATTATTACTGAGAAGCATGTTCAATCTGTACGCCTTTCAAACAATCAATAAATTCTCAAACTGCTTCCCATTACTTCATTGGTTCATCCTTACGTGTTCAAGGTCATAAGTGGATATAACTGTCATCAGTTGGGTATAGAATTTAACTAGGCATAAGTAAAATAAATAAAATTTATGTATAGGACCAGTCTTAAAAAGGGTAATTTAAGGTAGTAGGTCACTGCTTAGAAATTTCCTAACTCCATCATCATTAAAAAAATGCACCTTACTGCTTCTATTTTAACTCATTAGAGAAATAACAAAAGTGGTTTAGAGTTCTGGATTATTGAACTGAGAACTGACCACTTATTAAAGCGTTCGGTTAACTGCCATACGTTGTTACACATACTCCCAAGTTTCCGTAATTTCTTTTTGCTCCTATTGTGACCAAGATAAAATACAACAACAATCAACTTGGATTTTCACACAACTTATCCATAAAAACACACTGTGAACGAGTTATTGTGCAAAAGATTATTTATTGAAGTCCTCAGATGGTAGATTGACTGATTAGAAATTAAAAAAAGCATCAAGTCCATTGGATAATGAGGCACAAGACCACGTAAACCAACTCAGATTTGTATTAGTTTTACTGTCATCTCTCTGTGCAAAGGTACAGATTTACGTACTGTAATCGACGATCAGACAAGGTTTAGTTTTAGATATTGGCTTTATATCCAGAAAGCCAGCTGATAGGAGTTTTATCTACTGTACTGAGGTACCGTTTTACACAACAATAACAACTACTCATTCCAGTAGACAGCAAGAGAAAGTTTAAAACCTTGTAGGGTAGACCCTACTCAAATAAATAATTAGGAAAAAAGGTGACTACTGTTCTGCATACCACTGACCCATAATCACACTATAGAGTGATAGAGGGATAGAGTAACAATTCTAAAATCAAATATACCTAAGTGGAAGGAGAAATTGGTCACAGAATTGTTGTTCGTTGAATCAACACCTAACACAATGGACAGGAATGATTCATTACATATTGCAGATATATGGAACACTTTACTATCCGTAAAATAAAAGAATAAGGAACTTTATGACAATATAAAGTTGGAAAGTCGTATAATTACTTCGATATAAATATGAGCAATAAATTCTGGTCATTGTTGTGTACTACAGGAAATAAACAGTATAATATGGAATTTTATTCTACCAAAGTGCTCAAGTTTTTCCCTTACACTATTGAACACTTTTTTCCCTGAAAAATTCATACTGGTAACCGAGAAATCAATGGTTTGAATCTTTTTAAACCCCATAGTTTTCTATCAACTAAATAGAGACTAGAATAATGTAAAAAAAAGTTATCCTTAAACAGCTAAATCAAACAACATAACGAAAAATATCACAGTATTGTTAACATGCTACTTACACTTTTTTTTGTCAAGTAACCTATTACTAATGGTCCAAATATACCTGGTAGTGTAGCAGCAGTATTGGTTATTGAAATAATATTACCTGAATGATACATGTGAAAAGAAAATAAACGAATATTGATGGTTAATTAGTATAGCTATCAAGAAAATTCCTTCTTCTGTCTTATAGAGAGAAGAATGTTCACAAATTTATGGAATGTTGTGAAATATATTCGATTTATGAGTGTAGAGTTTATAAATTACGTCAGTTCGAATGAAGTTTTTCACTGACTATTGAATGTGATCTCAACCATACACTACAAATGGCAATGATGAACACTCGTTTAGAGATAATATATTTGAAAACTTTCTAATTATTTAAAAGATAATGTGAACGAAGAATATTCACTTTCAATAGATTCTCATTAGGTTCTGTAGTCAATTTCATAGATTCTGGAAAGGCCTTCTGCAGTGTCGACCCGAGAAGTAATTTGGCAGGCAGCTGCTTCAACACTACGGTTTTAGTGCCACAAACCTTTATCAACCTTATTCAACAGCTATACGCCATATGATGTTACATGTCAAGTGATTTACAATGGAAAACTCAGTGATGCCTTCGAAGGGAAGACAGGATTAAGACAAGGTTGTTGCTTACTATCAACAATGATCTTCCTGATTGTGGTCGATTGCACTGGACTGGACTGGACTGGATCATGAGGAGCAAGAAGATGGCCATTGGCTGGCTGCACCAATTACAAACCCTAGAAGAGTTGGATTTCACCGACGATGATTTATGTCTAATGTCTCACAAACTCGAAGATCTACAGGCAAGAACTAAGAAGTTGGCAGAAGAGGCGAGGGAGTAAAGAAGGGACTTCAGGTGAACGTAGAGAAAACAGAGGTGATGAAGATACCCAAACAATAACAACAACAAGCACCAATCACAATCAACGAGAGAAGTCTGAAGGAAGCAGTCTCTCTCACCAACGTAGGCAGCATCGTTTCGAATACAAGCGGCACAGATGCGGATGTCAAGGCCAGGATCGCAAAGACAGTAAGACAGGCCTCCATTAACCTGAAACCAGTGTGGAGATCTACTACACTGCACTGCACTGAACTCAGCATAAAGCGTGAATAACATCCAGATTTTCAACACTAAATCAGTCAACTCAGTGCTTCTATGTGATGGTTGAGAGACATAGCGCGTCACGAAAAGCATTTTTAATGAACTACAGACACTCATCAACAGCTACCACCTATGGTCACTTGATACTGACACTGGAGATCGGATGGCCGGAATAATCAGAATAAGCAACATGGAACTCTGGCTGGCTGGCTGGCTGACTGCCAGCGAACCAACCAACAACCCGTCGTCCAACAAATATGCAGTGGAAGAGAGCGGAGATGGATTGGTTTGGACATTCACTGAGAATACGGTTTGGCAACACCGTGCTCCAGGCCAGGCCGTCTAGTGGCAGCCAAATAGGAAACGACGAGTTGGGCGTGTGAGCCGAGGTTGGCATGGGGGAGATGGTGTGAGGAAAAAATGAAAGCTTGTGGGCAGTGGTGGGACCAGGTGTAAAAAGCCTGTAAAGAACAGAGTGAAATGGCGACGTGCTTCCGAAGCCCTGTGTTCCACCAGGAACCCAAGGGACAAATGATATAATAATAATAGGTTCCGTAGTCATAAAATGGAAGTGTACAGGGAAAAAATATGCTAATTTTGAGACAAATACACTTTAAAAAGGGAATATGAGTTAGGGACAATAAATAAGGGAGAGGACAGAAGGCTTTAGTTTATTGAACATCAATGAAAGAATAATGCATGAACGTGTTGCATGCACAATTTAGTTTTGATCAATCTTACTGTGACAGCCTCAGCTATGTTGAGTTACACGTAATATTGTTTTCTTTGGATATGGCATACGAAGGTAAAAGATGTATTAACATCTATTTGGTGCAGTCTATCTACCGAACATGCTAAAACAGAGTTTTCTTTTTACCTCTCTGTCTTTTCCTCTGCAAAATATACAGGAAAATGCTTGCCTATCTAGAGAGGCACCCATCTAGTAGTACGCCTCATGTAATTTGTCTAACAGGAACAGTTAACTTGAAATACACAAATTGAAGAGATAAGATTGGATGTGTTATCTATTGATCTGAGAGTGAATTTCAGCACTACGGTAGAGTATAACTCCAGTAAATTCTGTCCGAAACATCATCCAATAAAGAATACTGTTTCATTGTGTGATACTTACATAACAATGAACAATAATGGAATGTGCAGAGATGATTTGAATAAAACCTATTCACTACTTTAGATATCCAATGAGATAGAATGTCATCAGAAGTGCTTTGCTTGAATGATTGAGATGCAGAAATACAGGTTTCATGAATTCACATCTGGAATTAATGTAAGCAATGCTTAACATAATGAACGTTTTAAGAGATATCCATTTTCTCTTAGAATATCACTGATATGCATTAGTTCTTTCTCCATACTCTCTTCCTCTGATTAGATTTCTTTTTTCTACCTTGTCGGTACAAAGCTGAGATAGTTTGTATACTTTGCTTCAGTTGTCTGTTTCTTATATATACTTTTTGTTAGAGAATGATCTTGTTCTCTTTTCACATTAGCACATTGCAGTCATTGATTTTACTTTTATAAACGAAATGAACGTCTGGATAAACACCTATTGAAACAATTCAAACTAGTAACACTGATAGATTGAATAAACTTGTTTCGATTGAGTATACTGAATAGTTACAATCTTATAACTGTTCAACTTCTTCCTACTTTTTACGTAACAACCCTCAAATGTCACAAATAGACTATAGATCTCTGCAAAATCTAATATCATTTAAGATAGTGGTGGGTACCTTTTATTATTACGTTTTAAAATTTCTGTGCCTAAAAGATGAGATATACAAGCAGGTAACAGCATTTGAATTTTAAAAGTGAAAAAAAATTTCTCAGAAGAGAGTTAAATTGAAAAGTTTCAATATGAACCTAGAAGGGTGGTAATTGACTATAATTTGTATGAACCTAATGTAGAGTAGTACAACATACTGCTAAATAGAACCAATTAGGGTAAAATATTTGGGAAAACATTCGTAAAGGTTTTATACAATATCTTCATTATCTCAGTTTCTAGGTTTGTGGGGAATTATTTATTGATTTCAGATTAGTATTCATCACTGACTGACATCAGTTGGAGAAACATTAGGAACCTGGGAGGGCTGGAAAGCTGTTTCGTCGTAGCATGAGACTCCTCTTCAGTGCATACCTATGACCCCGTATCTACGGCAATCGAACCCGTGACCCTCAGGACCCCTTACCAGTAGGTCATCATTGAGCCACTGGGTCGAAATCCAATGGTCCATATTTCATACTTCTGTCAGTTCGTGATACACTGCAACCTCCGTTCAGTGTCATCGTTGAGTAACTGTCCTTGTGTGTAACTTGGTTGACCTCACCGGTAACGACTTCTCATACGAACTTCAAGAATCCCCTCTCGAAGCTAGTCACCTATGAAGAGTCCAAGACTGTGACAAAACAGCTGTCCAGTGTTACTTTGTTTCCAGTGTTTCTTCAACTGACGTCAGTTCATGATGAATATCAAGTTGAAATCTTCATCATCTGCCAAAACGTACTGGAAAATCAACCCTACCTACCGCAAAACTAAAAAGGCTGGGAAACCGTACGAATGAAAGATAAGCTAGTAAAAAAACCAAACCGTCCTGTGCTTGATAATATACGAAGTTCAGTAGTTTCAGATTGAATTAATACCAGTTTTCAGTAACTTTCGGATTGTAGTGATTCTTTATGTGAAATCGGTTTGTAGTCACAACCGATCGTAAATTCTGCTTGGTAAATTTCATGGATTATCTTTAGCTGTGGTTTTTATTATTGGGTCAACCTCAATAACATTTTACAGCTTTACTCATATTGGTGATAAATATGTCATGAACAATCATGTGTTCATTTATTATATTGAAAAGTTAGCTGGGTACAAGAGGATAAGTCATATAAAGCAATCTGATAAATGAAGGCAAGAATGAAAACAAAACATAAATGACTTGTTACTGATGCGGTCTCAAAGTTACATTGAAATACGCATTCACTTCTTTCGTGTCACTTTTCAGTAGTGAAAGAAACAAGAAAATTTCTACATGTTGGCTATTGGTTTCTATCTGCTATTCTCTTTGGTCGCCGAGTTGGATTATCTCTCGGACCTCATCGAAGGGGTCACGAGGTACCAACAGATGCAAACCCTACACAATTATCCTTCATCCCATGACGTCACGTAATACACTGGTTCACCTCCCCGCTTCTTTTAACCATTTCTTGACCAAGCAAACAGCAAGCAGTATTGGATACGGTGGTATGATATTGTTAGACACTGGTGTGTCAAGACAACCAAACGCAATGAATAACGATCTTCCTTATGCTCAAACACGTGGCCCCTACCTCACAACTACTTGTAGGGTGCTACCGGCAGATATAAGAAGTCCTATGGACGCAGTTGGTCAAAAAAGCAATCATCGAACAACCTGGAAGGGTCAGGTTTTATAGGCACAGAGCAAAACTTCTTCCATCTATACGCGATCTAACAACTAGTAAAAGGGATTTTAATAAATGATATTTCGAATTCTGACTGAATTAAGAGGGGATAGATGAGTTTCCATCAAGCATTCTTCATGTTACAATAGTTGTGCATCATCTAGTTCACAGAGGTAGCCAAAAGCCCTTATAAGAATTAAAGAAAAGTGCATTTATACATATTATAGCTACACGCTAACGAGCTTGATATGCACTTCACCTCGACAGTATGAATGAACACATACGAAAGTACACAAGTACGCACTGTATAACTATAACAGTAGAAATGGCCACTGAGTGCAGTAACAAATAATCAGTAGAGAAGAAAGTTGGAAGAATAAATCAAAAGGAATTTATGAAAAGGATGAGAAATAAATAGATAAATTAATAGGATTTCCCGAATTAATCCACTCCAACATGCTCAGAATGACATTATACCACATGCAGTTGCCGATCACCCTGCAGAGACCGTTGAGTTCAGTGACCTAATTCACTATCATATCCTCCAGCTTCACTTGCATACAAATACGACTTACAAATACGAAAAATTGCACTAAGAATAATCAAACACAATTTACCGCTATACATTGGTGCTAAATCCAAAGAATTTGATCCATAACCAGCGAATGAGAATCCCATCAAGCCAATAGTCACAGCGAATAGAGTTACAGCAGCTGTTCGATTACATCCGACAACAGCAACGCATATTAAACCAAAACCAAGCCCACCTAACGCTAGATAGGAAATAAGAAATCGGCATATCACTGTATACATAGATCATTACTTATAGACAGGCTTTATAAAAAAAAACATTCAGAATAAAAGTAAGTCTTAAATAGTTTAGTGATCCTTCAAAGAACTAGTCACATGTTCGCATTTGTGTCAGTAAAGAACTTAATGGATATCAATGACTTCTAAATGAATTGGTAGATATTGGATATGAGGCTGCAAGAGAACCCCAATTAGCACCAACTAAAAAGGAAACGTGGTTTGATAACTAAGACTTTACTATGAATCAGTTGATGAAATGCTTAACTGGAAACTTGTAATAATATGGACAACCTTCTTAGATTCACTTTCAACTACGTAAAGCATCATAAGTGAACTGAGTAATAAGTCCGTTAGCTTTGATATAGCTGAATGTAACTAGTCAAAACCATCACCAATCAGTCATCATCCTCACATTAAGTGTTGGGTTCCCCTTGAAACGTTATTCAATGTGATTCAAAGACGTTAAACTAACGAGCGAAAGCGGAATTTATCACTGTTGGTCATTACTGACGACATTATCATCCAAAATGGATGGCTAATGAAAGATGTTTGAACAAAAGCCTTAAATTTGACCTAAGTCAGTCATTCAATTAGGAGGTTTGTGGGGATTTATTTATTGATTTCAGGTTGATATTAAGGACTGACATCAGTTGAAGAACCAATGAAAACCTTCAAACACTGTAAAGCTGCCTCATCCTAGTATAGAACCCCTCAACAATCACTACCTATGACCCCCCCCCCCCACTATGTGTCGAAACCAGAACATTCAGGTTGCGTGACTGGCACGATACTACTGACTCACTGAGTTGGAATCTAATGGTTCACATTCTTCTGACTTCCATCAATTTACAATAGAGTGTGACCTTCATGTAATGTCATCGTTGAATAACTGTCCTTATGATCAACTTGTTTCGTCCCACCACTCACAACTTCTCATTATGAAAATTCGGGGAATCTTATCTCATAGAAAGTCACTAATGAGCATTGAACAGTTATTTAATTTGGAGGTCTGTGGGATTTATTAGTTGATTTCAATTTGGTTTTCATCATGGACTGATATCAGTTGATCATTTTACTGTAGTAAATTGAAAAGAGTGGCATAAACAAATACGTTTTTTCTATTGAAAAAAGGTTTGTCAGTAGTCGTTATTTTCATTTCAGCTAACCCCAAAAACTCATTAAAACTTAGGAGTAAAACGTGGGCATTGTGATAGGCGGTAATTCCATTTTGGTTTGTTTATTAGAAGTGTTACACAGAGAAACAGTATCATTTACTGGATAACGTTTCAGACATAATTTATTGTCCATATTCATATCACGTAACTCCACAACTTTGACACGGAGTTTATATAGTCCTATTTTTTCTCCTTCTTTGTGACAAAGGTAGTAGAATTTTCCGTATGTCTGCTATAGGTTCAGAATCATTTCAGTTCCATGAACTTGGCGTTGATTTGATAGTCGAAGACTCGGTAATCAATCTCACCTTCCCTCTACCCAATTAAGTTAGTTTTAATACTGTTGTATGATTGTAATTGCATGCAGAGCTATGGGCTAACTTGTCCTTAAATTTATTTGGATCTACCAATCTTGATTTAGCTAATTTTTTGTGATCTGTTATTCTAATTTACCCTGGTCGACTACTTTGACCTATACTTTTAACTTCACAATTACTGCAAGGGAGCTTGTAAACCAAACTATTTTGTCTAGTTGGATCAGTGGGATCTTTTAACCTACAAAGCTTGTTTCTAAACGAGCTTGTTGGCTGAAATACCACTTTAATCCTAGCCTTATTGAAAATTCTTCGTAATGTTTCCTAGTGCCTTCTTTATATGGTAATACAGTGGAGGTTTTGAACTCTGTCTCCATCTTGTCACCGTTATTACTACTGGTTGTAGAATTACCAATAATAACACTTGTATTGCCACTACTACTACTACCACTGCTAATATTTATCTTTCGATTTCTAATGAATTTATTTACAAACTTAGGTGGGTAATTATTAAGACGCGAGGTATTCCTGATATGTCTGATTTCTTGTCGTAGATTTTCAATTCTACCGGTAAGCTTTTCTGTGCCATTACTTAAGCATTTAACTAAGCTTACTTTTAATGACATGGGGTGAGATGATTTGAAATCTAAGTAGCTATTCAAATGGGAAGGTTTCCTATAGACACTAATTTTTGAACTTCCGTCTTGTTTTCGTTTAATCTTGCAGACCAACTTTGCTAGCTCACCTTCATCACTTTCTAAGTCACAGATAAAATGTATTGCACTCACTGCTGAATTGAAATGTGCCGTTAACCTATTGATCTGTTCCGATCTTAGTACTACAGACGTATCGTCTACGTATAGGAACCATATTTTTGTCTTTCAATTCTAAACAGACTTCTTTATTATATACTTTTCTGTCTCAAGTAGTTTTACTTAAAAATTCTTTAAATTATTTTATATATTGCATGTTCATTGAAGTTAATTTTTCTAAACTTGTACTGAATATTATTTCCCCTTGGGTTCCTAGTGGAACATAGGGCTTCAGCAGCACCTCTCCATTGCACTCTGTTCTCCGCAGTCTTTTGAACCTGACGCCACGACTGCCCACAAGCTTTCATTCTTTCTTCACATGATCTCCTCCATGTCACCCTCACCTCGGACGCCCAACTCGTCGTTTCCCCTTTGGATTCCACTCGAGTGCCTGGCGCGTGATGTCCCCAGTCGGCTTTCTCAGTGTATAGGTCAACAATACTTCTCATAAATTTTCAAACTGTGTACCAATCATCCTTTGGCTTTCTTGGCATAGCTAATCATACATCATTCAAACCACATTTCTGTCAGTAGCTCCAATGAGTACACAATGTTGAACATATGGACTCATGAAATATAGTGCTAATACTCAGACGATCGGAATTATCAATTTGACTTCATCCTTCTTTTCCATGTTTATATTGAGTGGTAAACATTAAATAAGAATACTGAACAGTTGTTTAATAATGGTTCGTGTCTCCATAGTATTCATATCTGTAGCCTTACATAGGATGGATGACAGAAATTAACAGTATTCGTAGGTAGAAGGCAACTGTTCAACAATAAGGTCGGAATCTGATCTTCAGTCAATTCATTGTGTTGTCAGTCGGCAGTCGTTTAAAATACCAACTTGAGTGAACTCATAGATCACGACTCCTTGCAAGAAATTTGATGAATCCATCTCGAAGCACTGCGTAGTAAGTTACCGTTTATCTGAGTAGATTATGCCAAATTTATTGGCATAAACAATGTTTCAATTACGCCCAACATTTTAAACTAAAAACCCAATAAACAGTTCTGATGAGGGGAATCACTTTTAAATGGTGGAGAATATTTGTAGCTAAGGCGGATGATTGTGGAGCTTTCATACTCTTTCTAGACGACATCTTCAGCACTAACTACAGTATGAAGTGAGTTATTAATAGCTTGCCTTGACGAACTTGTTTGTGATTGGTTGATTCCTTTGGTTGTTGTGTCATTGATTGCATAAATTTTCTTCTTGGCTGTTCCTCTGCTTGACCTCTGACTATTCTGTTGTTTATCAGTTTTCTTATGAATTGATAGATTGGTTTTTATGTCTATACATAAACTCAATCTATCAATCCATAATAAAAACGAGGAATAACAGAATAGCCAGAAGTCAAGCAGAGGAACAGCCAAGAAGAAAACTTATGCAATCAATGACACAACAACCAAAGGAATCAACCAATCACAAACCAGTTCGACAAGACAAGCTACTGAATCACTCACCGAGAGATAGCGACTTCTCACTTCATATTGAAGTTAGGGCTGATAATGCTGTCTTGAAAGAGGATGAAAGCTCCACTGTTAAACAACTCAACTCAGAGAACATAACACAACCAAAGGAAGTACACTGGAAGCAAAGAAGAATGATCAACCATTATTGTATAGGATCAACTGCTCTGTATATCATAAAATTGACAACAAAGATGTAAGCTGTCGTATTCCAATTTGATGATCAGACACTATTTCATTTTCTACATAATGGGGTCTTGATCATTTGAGGTACTGTCAGGATGCACTAATGACGATTGCTAAACTAGAAAGAAAAATCTACTTAGTCATTTCTGTTTTTATATGGTTTTATAGCTAAGTTTCAATTTCATAGCTAACTATATCTTCTAATTAGTCTATAAACTGCAATAAAAATGTGTTCTTAGAATATATTTCCCCTTTCAAGTTGCTATGTCAAGAAACAGTGACTGAAAACTATCGAATACTTAAAGACTACTGTATTCCGTTTACAAAATATTCAGAACAATGTATCACACATTCATTTTTTAGCAAGAAAGACAAACATTTTCAAATGAATCAAATCAGGCATATCATTAATTGGATGTGTTGTTATTTGGGATACTATGCAGAAAACTGGAGTTTACTGTGATATTACGATGTAATCGCTGGATAACACCGAGTGCTTCCTTGTTCCAGACACCACTATTAATAATGAAGATAGTAGACGACAAGAACCAACGAATTTACTAGTGGCTAAGGCAAACTACAACATACTAAAGTATATGATGTTTGTGATGTCTTTCTTGCCTTTCATGAGATGGTCAATAGGGAGTACAAGAGATAATGTGTTCATTATTAGGTCGATTTGTAATAACTAGTACCCCTTGCAGATATTGACAGGACAATTAGAAGAAACGTGTAGTTCATTGGCTCAATACATTTCAAGAAGTCTGGCCACACAAACTTACTTGCCAAGTATATTTATATAAATTATAACAAAGGATAAGAGGGTTTAGTAAATCATCGATATAATTCACATTCAAATTGTTAGCTAAGATATGAACGGAAGTATGGTATATTGACCATCCTAGCATCAAAACTGAGTTATCAAGAGAGGCTTAATGTAACCAAAAAAATATTTTCCCGTACATAACAGAGGTAGACACTTCCTTATGTTTAGAGCTTCAAAATATCCAAGTATATGTATCTGATTGGTTTCGTAAACAGGTTTGCAATTATGCGTACTAACCAGTCCCATGACCTGATTTCTTTTTTAGGTAGTATTCATCATGAACTGACATCATTTAGAGAACCACTGGGAGCCTGAAAACACTAAACAGTTGTTTCGTCCCAGTGTAGAACTGCATAGCAGTATACACCTACGACCTCACCGAGGATCAAACTCTGGACTTTCAGCTCGAGCAGCGATAGCTATAACCATTCAACCACTGGATCGAAGTTGAGTAGTCCACGGTTTCCTACTTTTGTCGATTCACGATATAGTGTGACCATCCACCAAAGCTTACAGTTAGCGTCCACTTCACTTCTGACTGACTGACCCCTCAGGTCAGCAAAACTTCACATTCACTACAAGGCTTGAAGGTCTTGGAGTTTGATTCCCAGAGGGGTTGTGGGTTAGTACTCGTATGGAGTTCAGTACAAGGTTTTCAATGGTTCTCTAACTGATGTCAATCCGTGATAAATACTAACTAAAGATTAACATACTATCCTTCCCTACCCATCTGAACTAACAATTCCATCCTGTACTAAGTTGATTATTTTTTTAACCCCCTTATCGTCTGCCATACTTTACATAAATACACATGACGATAAGTATGTGTGTGTGTGGTCATACTGTTCGAAATATATCGTGCTAATGCATTACACTTCCCAGAAGAACTATGTCTTCCAACTGTTTTGTTGAAATGAATCAGTTGCAATAATAATTCAATGATATTAATCAAATTATAGACAAATAGTAATCATGTAAAATCCCATAACAATACAGTAATACTACATTTTCAGTAGTACGTTTAGTGGAGGGAATAATCATCTTCCCCCAAAAATGGCTTTTTATAAATGATGTCTTTATGAATTTATAATTTGATATGAATAAGTTTTTGTAACACCTGGAACAAAATTACTAGATGCAAGTCTTTAACCCTTTTCTAACAGGTATCCCAAACTTTAATCGGTTGGACCTAAAATGGCTGAACCAACTGTCCATCGTTCATATCCAACTGTGACTTAGTTTTTCAGTAAACCTATAGAATTATCACGTTACCATGAATGGTGAGAATTATTTCCTTACTCATCATTATCATTATCAACATCTATATTTTCAGAACATAATGTGATTTGGAATGTCAGGAAGAGAATGCTTTTCGAAATGTTATTAACTTTTCTTCTGATCGAGTGAGTGCTGTCATAGTTTGTTCACTTTGTGTACGGGTTTATGAGTGTGTGCATAAACCAGTCAGTTAGTAAATTTTTAAAAAACTGGTAAAAGTAAGATAAATCCCTCGTATCTCAGTTGGTAGAGGATCGTGTCGGAAACCCGGTGGTCTCTGGTTCGAATCCATCCGCGGTCCAAATTTTCATTTCTTCTCCAATCACTACCCAGTATAAATCCAACTCTATTTTTGTCTTTTCAGATTTGATGCATCCAATTCTATGTGTCTTCTAATGCTTTTTTATCGAAATGAGTCGAAAAATTTTGTAAACATTTTAGCAGCAGGCAATGAGTTACACCTATTTAGTGAAAGCTAATGATACTACCTGGCTGCTCGAACCTCGGAAGGTGGGACGGGGTTAGAACCCGTAACCTATTGCTTAACAGCTAACTCCTCAGATCAATAAGCCACACCTTCCACGTTTCGCATCTGAGAAGTGTGGTTGTGTTAAATCCATAGAGGCAACCCTGTACATAAACGAATTGACCACAGGGTGCTAATTGATATCGTTAAGGACCCAATCAGAGTCAGCCGATCAATTTCTCAGAGTAGTCATCAAACAAAGTAAAATGATATTGCAGAGCACAATATTCAGGTAACAGACGTTAAGAGTCGAACTGTAGGTAATCCTGGATCTCAGCTTCATGATTACTGATGCTTATAAATAAGTTTGCAAATGATGTTTCCTGTGTAGTTTTAATTTTTTTCACACAATGCCGAAATCTTAGATTTTTCCACTAACCAATTCACGTTGCCACTAACCAACTGCACCTCAGCCTTAGAAAGTGTGTACTACACGATGAAAATTTTCACAAGCTCCACACTTCTAGTCAAGTGCAACCAATTTTTTCCACTACTTTATATCACTTACCAATGAGATTATTTAGTTTACGTACCCAAGTTGTAGACAAATACTTTCTTGCAATCAAAAAATCGGAACAGTAAGCAACAGATAAGCTGACAATTGATTGGGCAACATACGGAATAGATGAAAAAAGACCATTCTGTAGAAAGCAAAAATAAACAGGTAAGTCAATGACAAAGAAAGTTATCAAAGGGTAGCTAGTCACGCTCATCATAATGAATTATAAATGAAAATTAAAAAAATAAACATGCGTACTGGCTACTCGGTATTCAACAACTCAAGATAACCTCGTTGATAAGAGAGTGAATTAATCAAGTCTAGGAATTCCCTTACGTAGTTGTTGAAACGTAAGCTGATAAAGAGAAATAAATAGATCACTATGTTATTGAGTATCTGCCAAATCATTCCTCTGCTTGTTAGGGAAAAGTTAGAATTAATTGAGAATAAGGTAGGTTTCATGCACATAATGACTCTGCTTCTAAAAGTATACTGTAAAGTGGACAGTACGCGTAATCATTCAGCTAATCAGAACAAAACGATCTTCATTAATTCATTCAAATAAAAAGCGTGATCCGATAACAACGTAGAGTTCTGAACGTACTGCAAAAAACGTCAATCAATTAGTTTCAGCATACGCCTACGCAATCACCAAGCAACCAATCAAACCACTCCAAGGTGAAGTAGTATATTATAAATATCCATGAGAAACCAGTTGCTCTACTTCCTTGTGAAGCTCTGATGCTCTGATTATGATATCTAGCCTTACACTGAAGCCTTTATCAACCAAAATCCTAGCTCAAAGAACAAATTACTCTGAACTCCTACATCCCGATCTACAAATATTTGTAAGGGTTTTCATAAGTCCATACTTCTTAAGATCAAATCTGACTAAAAAATATGGAAACTGTGACTGACAATTTCTTCATTTCTTGATTTTGTTTATATAACCGACTAGTTCTTATAAATCTGAATCCTGAAATATATCTGTTGTTGAAAATAAATAAAAGCAATACTGTATATATGTCAATCACTCATATTTTGTAGCAGCAAATACTAATAAGAAATAAAAACTGCAACGTTGTGTAAGTGCTAGAAGTTCAAATTAGAATAGAGTGGAGTAAAACCTGTATAGCTTTGTTACGACACCTTGAGTTGTGAGTGCTGAAAGGCACCTGTTCAAACCACTGAGGCAGCATGGATTTTATTGAGGATGCAGATGCACTTGGCTGAAATCAACATGACATGTGCTAACTTAATTTCAATATTCCTTGCTAAACACTCTTAAGTATCCAGTAAAATGGGTGGATGGAAGGGGGAATTCGCTGCTTATGATTCTTTTAGATAAAACAAACAAGTGTAAATCTATACATAGCAGCTAAAATATATAGCAATTTATTCATTTTCGGTGGAACTAATGAATTCCTTCTTCTCTGAACAGTTATCAAACGACCTCAAAATCACCAACAAAGCTGAAGATGATTGTGCCATCGTTCTAGGAGCTTCGATTTATTGAAAAATGTCGTGGATTACAAGTTTGCTTCAGCCTGATTCTGATGATTCCACTGCTAACAACTATTATTCACTAATATCAAACTAGAAATACCAGCAATATCGATGCATCCGCGCAGTAGCCCAAAATGTCAACAATGGCTGATTAATTCAGTCCAGCCAACGATGGGATATTACAAGCTATACCACCAAAACTACATTATACTAATCACGTCAGAAGTGGCTAACGTAACTCAGTAGCCTAGTAAATAACGCTATGGTGTTTGAAGTAGTTAGTCTTGCGTTTGAGTTCAATTGAGATAGATATCACTCATTGAGAGACAGGAACATCCAGTTAACAAATCCTAAACAGAAAGAAATACGCATCCTGGATTCCACTACCAGACGCTACTTAATATTAATATCGAATAATGATAATTCAAACTGAATCGAATCGAATTATTTCTAATATGATCGTATCACACTGTTCGCTAATTCTGAGGGTTTTTTTATTTACATGCATTTCTTATGAGAGACAAAACTATATTTTCGATATAAATGGTGATTTTGATTTTTAGGTAGTATTCATCACGAACTGACACTAACTGGGGAACCGTTGATAACCTAAGAACACTTGACAGTTGTTTCGTTCTAGTATCAGACTCCTCAGTAGTGAGCATCCACTACCCGGATAGGGATCGAACTCAGAACCTTCAGGTTCCGCGGCGGATGCGTTAACCATTCAGGCACTGGGTCCGAGTTCGATGGTTCACAGTTTCCAACTCCTATCAATTCACAATATAGTGCGACTATCACCTAAGGTCTTCAGATGGCATCCATTTCTCTTCCGACTGGTTGACCCCACAGGTCACAGCTTCTCACTAGAACCTCCTAATATTCTTCTCGAAGCATGTTACTAATGAGCACAATACAGTAAAGTATTTTTGAGATGAACGGGGATTTCAGTAGCATGCTTCGAGATGAATATCAGGAGGTTCTAGTGAGAAGCTGTGACCTGTGGGGTCAACCAGTCGGAAGAGAAATGGATGCCATCTGAAGACCTTAGGTGATAGTCGCACTATATTGTGAATTGATAGGAGTTGGAAACTGTGAACCATCGAACTCGGACCCAGTGCCTGAATGGTTAACGCATCCGCCGCGGAACCTGAAGGTTCTGAGTTCGATCCCTATCCGGGTAGTGGATGCTCACTACTGAGGAGTCTGATACTAGAACGAAACAACTGTCAAGTGTTCTTAGGTTATCAACGGTTTCCCAGTTGGTGTCAGTCTGTGACAATATTATAGACAAGAAGGTCACACTGAAGTATGCTTTAGTATTGGGTGGAAATCTCTTAAGATGGAGTCAAGGCCCTCTTTTTAACTCCGTAAACCATACTATTTAATTCCCCTAAAACGAGGTACAGAACAGTATGTCCTTGACATGGGCAGGAGAGGAGGATGACTGCTTGCCATTCTTGGACATATTAATTAGTCGGTGGCAGAGTGGATCACTGAAGCGACCTATCTACAGAAAACCTACATAGACAGGGTAATATTTGAACTACCAGGGCTTTTGTCCAGTCCAGTACAAGCAAGCGTTAGTTGAGTAATTATTCAGTAGAATTCAACTAGTATGGACAGAGGATACTTCGGAAGATAATAGAGGAACATTGACTGAAGTATTGTTGGGAAAAAACTATCCATCAAAATGTATTAGCCAACTCAAAGTAATCAGAGCACCAAAACCAGATCTTTAGTTTGTCCCGAAGAAAGATGTCTTTATCGGTCTTCGGTACAAAGATGACTCTCATAGTGCAATCCTTAAGTAGAGACTTAACGCTACTGTTAGAAAGACTGACTATGCAGCCAGGGTTCGATTGATAGAAACCACCAAGCACGTATATTCCCCCAAACTCCCACGGCATGTGAACGACAATGTTACATCCTACCAATTCAAATGTACGCCTGGTGACATATAGGGAGGACTCATAGATCCATGCAAGTAAGGCCCTCAGAATATATTCCAAAGTGGATTCAGAAGCAAATCAAATCATATGAACTCATAAGCGTTGGCAGCAAACGTCCAATAGGTCACAGGATTGGTGTGGCTACTTCCTTTACACCTATTTGCAAAACGTGTTAGGGACAGATCCTTAAATTTGTTGAGGCCTTAGCTATTAGAAAGTTGAAACCACCTTTGTGTGATCATAAACAATTTGTTGTCACATTAAATCTTCTTTGGTAAATTCAACTATAAAAACCAAGTTCGATGTAGTATTACTTTCGCCCTATTGATTTTGATTATCCTCATGAATTTTCATATAAATACTTATGTCAAGTATGTGTGTGATCAGATAGTTAGAAATGTGTTACGCAAATACATTACACGATTCAGACAATTTACGTCTTCTTATTGTTTTGTCGAAGTTAATAAAGGGAACTAATTGTTTTAAATCCTCTAAATCAGTTTGATTTATTCACTAGGCAGCAAACAAAGAGCAGATAAGCTCACTTAACAGGACCTGAAAAAACGTGCAGCGCATATGCTGTTTGTTTTCTGCTTTGGAGCTTCATTTTATATAACATCCAACTTCCTGAATATTACGTCTATTTTAAAATCTCAAACGCTAATCCATAAATTATCCCGCATTGCCTTCATATAAATAATTTAGGGACCATAAATAACTGCATAAAGGTTAATTTACGTCTATATCAAATTTTAGATACTTTAATTTTATGTCATTCAGTTCAGATGAATTAGTATATTTATCGTATGTTGAAAACTTGGATCACTTCATGAACATCGTTAAAAATAATCTTATCTACCATAATTTTTCTACATTTATTTAACAGTTTTACAACGGATGCACTCAAGATCATATCAACGCCGTTCAAGGAAGAAAAAATTCTATAGTTCCATTGTATTTCGATTATCACAGAGAGTGTGTCAATACCATTTCCTTTATTGCTGACGAGTAGTACTAACTTTGCAGTTTCTGTTTACCTACAGGTCAAACACACCCTTTGACCTAAACATTCATTACTAAAATACTATGTAGTAGTAGTAGTTGCGAATGGTGAGTTATTTGTGTGAAAACGCGAAACACATTGAACAGTGTTAAACGTTGGAAATAACAGTTGTGATGTAAGTCATGTCTGGGTAGATAAGGAAGAGAATAAACGATATACTCATTAGACTATTCTTATGTTGTGAGTGTTCAAGCAAAACTAGAAACTTGATTTATTTAAGCATCAGCTTAATTGTTACTCACGACTAACATGACACACTCCATACTGACACTGATGCTGCAATAAATTCAATATATCCTGCATAAAATGGAATATCCAACCTTTTCAGCAGAAGTGAAACAATCGACATATTCTCTATTTACCCTAGTAACGAAGTATCCTTAACTAAATATCAAAGAACTCCCAAAAAGCTATTATCCTCATCTAAAAATACAAATTTTCATCACTTCTGCAAAGAATAGCATTAATTAACGTGTAAAGCTTTAATATCAGCAATAACTTACCTGAGTAATACTGAAACCAAGGACACGAGACATATAACTGGGCATGCCAGTGACTAAGGTGTAGAAGGCCCAGTTAAAACAGACATGACAAATCAAAAGTGACCAAACTGAACGTGATCGAAATATTTCACCCCATGGTACAGAACGTCTCTGAGTAGCACCAAAGTCAAGCGATATTCTATCTAAGCTAAAAGTCAAAAGAAACAAACAACTGAAATGTTGACAGACATGAAGAAAATGTCAGAGTATACAACTCTACAGCTCACAGAAGATTATGATAACTACAATCCGCTAAAAACGCATCATCCCTATTGTATTCGATGTTGGTCATTACCACTAAGATCTAAAGCGGGTGTTTCGTTCCACCTGACACTCTTCAACCAAGTTTTCGAGTGTTGGTGTCTATAACAAAATCAGTCTGCAGATATGTAGTATACAGTATCAATAAAATAAACCTTCTATCAACTACTTAGTAGTGTGACCCTCAAGTAAACTGATATGATACTTTGAAGTATAATAGTCTCTTAATTTCTTTCTGAAGGCAATCAGAAAATAGTTCTTCATTAAAAAAGACTCGATAATGAAAATTATCAGAAGATTCAATGAAATCAATTTTTGTAGAAAAAAAGTTTGGTATTTCAATCACCTTTTTGAAAAACGTGAACTTGGTACACCATTCGTCTTTCTTTCCTGTAAATAAAAGAAAAATTCATAAAGTTGTGATGAAAAGAAGAGTATGTTTGAAATATAAACTAAATGAATGCATATATAAGAAGTAGAGGATAAAAAGTTGATGGGTGACAGTGATGGATACATTAAACCACAAGAAAACTAGTCCCACTGTTATACCATAAGCCAAGCCTTCACACTGTCTGACTGTTCAAACCTCTCCATTGATGAGGTTGTGTTCAAAGCTATACTTCACCATTAAAAAGATCATATGCTTTATTTAATACAAGATAAGAGATTGTACCGCAATAGGAAACTCAGAGACATCTTATCATGTAACCTATCATTAACTTTGGCACAATATAAGGTTCCGAATTCTACGGTAATTTGAGATAATTATTGAACGATCTTCTGGTTGTTCTTCTGACTTTAGATAACGATGAATATTTCATTCCCTGGAAAGACCATACATTCAATGAAAGTTTAAAGTCGTCATAACCCTAATGTTCACTGATTTCCCCTGGTATACTAAAAACTCAACTACACAAACATATCCGAAAACAAATTATTTTTCGCTAATGGATGAGTTCAACCATGAAATGGCTTATTTCTTAGATATAAGGACAAGAAAATTAGTGTAGTATTCTCTGTCCACCTAGACCATTTGTTGTAAAATGGAGACATAAAAGAAGCGACTTTACAAGTGTAACTATCTAAAACGTTTCCTATCACAATATTTGAATTAGCTTTCAAACATTGTGAGATGAAGATCGCTTAATATCAACATGCGATGTGGCATCATTGCGTAACAGTCCAGGGATATGAAACCTCACATCAATATAATAAGACGCAAAGCATCAAGGTGAAAATTGGAATAGTAAGAAAAAACTTAATTACAAGTAAGACGAAATCAAAGAAAGGTAACGAGGATAAAACAATGACGAAATGCGGTATCACAGTTAATATAAAAATCAAGTATGGGTGCATCTTCACGGCTGAAATCAATTCTAAGCCATATCGTCTACACTCTCCAACCACCGACTCCGTTTTTCACGCTGACGCATTTCCGTACATGGTTCAGACTAACAGTCAGTCACAAACCCTATGAAATGATACTCTGTTTCAGCCTGGCTGTGGTTAACTAGCCTAAACTTACTTCACCTTACATTGAGCAACAGGATAGATTAAACATGCATAACATATGTCTCAGCCATCTAATTTCATGAAAGTTTAAAACTTTATAAACTTACTCACCTTTAGGGCTAAAAATTTACATCTCACTCCTACATTACTAAAGCGATTATTCCACGACATACGTATCATGCTACAAAGGCAATGGTGACCAAACGTCTGAAGCCTTCTCATATCCTCTACTTTTAATGCACATGTTTCACAGCCATGTAGTTGAATAAAACAGATCACTACGCCAGGACATTCGGTCCTTAATAGTCAACCGCTCATCTCATTGGTATGGTAGACGACATCAGATGACAAAAGTTATTTGAGCCTTTTAACCAGAGTCGATATTTTCTCGGTTACTGACTAGTAAGGGCTGATTTCACTTCTCATGTAAGTGAGATATTCGATACATCCAACTACTTCACTCCTTACTTTTAGTCGAAGCACCGATGCAAATCAATTTTAAAGCAACAATTTTCATTTGGACGGTAAAAAAACATTTCAAGCACTATCAAACTCCATTCAAAGTGTCTCAAAAACTGCATCATTGCCAGCCTTTCTAGCTAACTAGGCTATGTCACCCTCATACTCTATGAAAATGTCACTCCCTGTAAAGTCAGATGAGAACAGGGGGATCTTTAAAAGCGCATCATGACAAAGTTAAGTAAGAATGGAGAGAGTGGATGTTCCCGACAGATATCTCCTGAAATACACAACACACCTAACACTTCAACATACACCCTCGCATGTAGATGGTTGTTTGAATACACATCCTTCAATAGTATGATTTACTCACCAGACAGCGATTGTACTGAGAGATACTGTAATAAAACCTTTCGATCGACAGAGTCTAACGTCACTGCTACATACGAATGCTAGTAATTGTGAAAGTGGTCAAAGATCTGGTGTAAAGCGGATATTTCGCCGATACACGTACAGTTATGGCTGAAATCTAATTTCCGTAAACATAGTAAGTGGTCAAATAAAATTAGAGTCTTGATCAACTCTGAGTGATTCAAAATGGACTAACAAGAAATATCGTTTCACACGGTAGATGAGATCAAGGTTTTATGAAGACTGTGATGAGATTTCAGTGGATGACATCAAAACGTGTATGAATAAATACAGTATACTTCAACTGGATCCTGTTATCTAATGCATATATAGCAGTCAGTGACCAATGGATGTCGATTTAAAAAGAAGACCACTTCATTATATTAGCAACCATTTCTCAATGTGAATCCCAATATAATTCATTTGTTCATCTCAGAAGTAGTCTCTAGATATGGCATATAGGGATTAAGTTTTAAGTCTTATGCGAAGCAACAACTATTTAATATTTACAAGTATGTCTTGCTGATGAATACCGAAAGACATGGAAATGATGGTTAGGATATTACGTCCGGAACAGACTGGATTGAGGAAGAACAAATTATGTGCCGATCAAATCGCAACGCTTCGCATCATCATAGAACAGAGTATAGAATGGCAGTCAACTCTCGATCTCAACTGCATCGACTTTGAAAAGGACTTTGACAGCGTTGACCGACAAGTATTTTGGCACTTGCTTCAACACTACTGTTGTAGTGCCACAAACCTTTATCAGCTTCATTCAACAACTATATGAAGACGCCACACGCCAAGTAATTCATAATGGGAAGCTCAGTGATACTTTTGAAGTGAAGACAGGAGTGGAACAAGGCTGTTTACTTTCACCCATGATCTTCCTGATTGTAGTAGACTGGATCATGCAACAAACAGTGAGGAGCGAGAAGAGGGGTATACACTGGACCCAGGGAAATAACCTAGAAGACTAGGATTTCGCCGATGACTTATCTCTAATGTCACACAAACTTGAAGATCTACAGGCAAAAGCTTACAAGTTGGTAGAAGAGGCAATGCAGCGAAGACGGCTTTTCCTTCAAGTGAACGTAGAGAAGACAGAGGTGATGAAGATACCCAACCAACAACAAACTCCAATCACCATCAACGGGAGAAACTTGAAGGAAGTAGCCTCTTTCATTTGTCTAAGCAGCATTGTTTCAACTACAGGCAGCAAAGACGAGGACGTCAAAGTCAGGATCGGAAAAGCAAGACAGGCGTTGATTAACCTGAAACCAGTGTGGAGATCTTCTGCACTCAGCATCTGGAACAAGATACGGATTTTCAACACCAACGTCAAGTCAGTGCTTCTGTATGGCTCAGAGACTTGGCGCGTCACGAAAGGGATTTCCAACAAACTACAGATATTCACCAACAAGTGCCTACTCTGGCTCGTTACTGAAGATCAGATGGCCAGAAAGAATAAGCAACAAGGAACTCTGGCTGACAACGAAAGAACCAACCAAGAAGCTATCGCTGGACAAAAATGCATTTGAAGGAAGTGGAGATGGATTGGGCATACACTGAGAAGACCAATTGGGGACATCACGCGTCAGGCCAGGTCCTCGAGTGAAACCCAGCTGGGAAACGACTAGTTGGGCTTCAGAAGTTGACATGGAGGAGATCGTGTGAGGAAGAAATGAGAGTTTGTGGGCAGTCGTGGAGCCAGGTTCAAAAGATTTTAGAGAACAGAGTGCACTGTAGATGTGCTACTGAAGCCCTGTATCCCACTAGGAACCCAAGGATAATAATGACAATTCGAAATACTTATTCTGTATACCTATTCTTTTATCTGGTAAGTAATTTAAATTCTGATGAAATCTTATTTCTCGAGAAACAAACACTTCACCTTTTAATCTGTACAAAAGCTTATACTATAAATCTAAGAGATGTGATCAGTCTAGTTTAATTCTGAACTTGATACACAGTGACTTGATTACGTTATTACCATTATCTACACGACCTTTATTGTTCAATAGTGAATAGATCAATTAGGGATAGGCTGACTTCAAGCCAGTAATCAAACCATCGAGAAAAAGAGACTGGTGATTCACTTGTTATTTCAGAGATGAATGACTTCTTATCGACTGCCAATAACTGGCATGTTGGCATTTAAGCTAAATGTGGCGTTACTGATATAAGTGGTCATTATTTCGTCCAAATAGCGTATAGAATAAGCAATTTTGTTTTTTTTCATTTATTTAGATATTTTTATATTTGGTTGAAAGAAATAATGAGCACTTATGTTATACATGCCACATTTAGCTCACATGGTTACTTATCGGATACCGGTAGACCTTCTTATTGTCTGTTTACTGACAAAAGTGTCATCGATTTTATCAGACCTATCAAATCACTTAATCAATAACACATTGTAACAAAAAGCTAACGATTCTCTGAACTGAATTATTTCTCGAACTCAAGGCTAGGTTGTTCAATCCTTCAATATGAGATATCATCATCTATGTGATTTCACAAAGAAGTGGAGTTATACGGATATTTGTAATTAGTGATTGTATTCAATTAAAAACCCTGTCGATTAAGCTGTAATTATTCTCTTTTTCATAGAGATGTATACTGAAGTGATTCACTGGTTTTCTTTATATAAATGGTTTAAAACAGTCTGGTTGAATGTGATGCTTACAAATTATGCTACCAGATAGAGAATTGTAAGGTTACGATCACAAGAGGAAACCGAAGAGATTAAAGATTAAATGAACAGAGTGAGATCAACAGAGTAAAAGTATCAATTAGGAAAAATGACAGTGTTATCTCAGGGAAGACTTTACTACTGGTAGCATTTGATCAAACATTGCTTTGTCTTATTGTTTACACCAGGTGAAGAATACTTTATGAAAATGGTTGAGGAAAAGTAAAGTAGACCGGGTATTCTTTGCGTTATGTACTGAACTATTCCCTCTTCGACTCCTTCGATAAACCTAAAATCCCATGAAAATCCTCACAACAAATCATTAAATGCCAACCAATCAGGACAAACCTAGGTGTTCATCTATAATGTTTTTGCCGCCTCTTTCAGTTTTCAAGGAACCAAGCGACTCTTAAGAGTGACAACTGAAGGTTACTGTTTAAGAGTTCATATGTATGTATCAGTTACTGATTTCATATCACTTTGTGTATATTCACCACTGAAAGTTTCATCAACATCAACTTACTTTCCTACATTGACCAAATAGCTGATATTTACACTGTTGAAGACTTTTCTTTGTTTACAAAAAACGTTTCTGAGGATATGGTCAAAAAAGGAAGTGGTGACTTTGGACGTAATTTTTTTGCGTGTAATTGCTTCTAAAGGGGTATATACGTTACAAAAAGTTAAGGATTTTAATTTGGAATTGGCCATGGAGTGATATTAGTTGAAGGAACATTTGAAACATAGGAGCACTCAACAGCCGTTCTTCACTGCACGGGACTCCTCAGCAATATGCAAGTATGACCGTACCAGGGACGGAATCCAGAACCTTCAGGTTCCGTGGCCAGAATGCTACCATTAGGCCACTCGGTCGGGATCCAATGGTCCACACTTCCCACTTCTGTAGTAAACCTCCAGATACAGTTAAAGGTTATTTGAGAAGAATAGTTTATCCCTGTGACTAAAGATATGACTTGTTAATAAGTCCTAAAAAGCATGAAACCTAAGTGGAACAGGGCTTTTTGCCAATGAACTCTTAAAATTTAACACCTTAATACAATGCACCACAGTGTTGTATCATTTAGTTTAGTGACCACATTGTAACCCATGACGAATATCATTGGATCAATGCTGAATACCACACATTAGACGGTTAAATCGGTTAGCATTTCAAGTTGGTGCAATGAATTCAACTAGCGTCGAATGACCTAATACCAGCGTCTTTCAGTAGTTTAATTTTGAAATTCAGGACAACAAAAGAACTTTGGTGTTAGATACCAGGACTTATTGAGTAAAAAGTCCTAAACCAACACTCTTTACCTGCTGATCCTCATCAGCAAGGTGTATCTGAATAAAATGAGGCAGTTGATATTTCTTCAGTGATCCAAATCTGTAACTCTGAATTCTGATATCAGAGACCATAACACGACGTTACTGAGAGTACAACTGATCGCTGTAGGACTGGTAAGCTAGTAATTTTTCTACTTATCAGATTCGATCCAGTCAATTAATGAAATTCTTAAATGCTTCGGTCACACTATTCCCCTATGTACTTGTTTTTTTTCTTATAATCGTCATCGCTGTAAAAATCTGAGAGCTGGTGTTGACCACTGACTGCTACTCATCTCAGTAACCAAGTTACTCCCATAACAGATAGTACTGCCTTACTTAACGAAATCAACAGGCGCATCACTAAAGTAGTTAGAGCAACCCAACATGATATTCAGATTCATGTAGGATATTTGAAATCCATCAATTTGAATCCTGTAAATTGATTTCATTTGTGTTGGAAATCTGCGAACCTGGTGAAACTCGTACCGTCTGTGAGATAAATGAGAGATTAATTCAGTGTAACCATGAAGCTGACATCCGATCGATTTCTGAATGATGTTTTCATCTTATCATCTTTTTTCGATAAGATTTATTCATATCTCAAACTAGTCCACTTTAACTTGTAACTGACCATTGTTTTGAACTACTATTTATACTGCCTGTTAAACATTCAGTGTTCAATGGACCAAGGTGAAATATCTGCCGGCGCACAAAAAGAAATCAATCTGTTTTTCTTTTTCTTGAAAAATTCACTTACTGTATTGTACGTTTTCGTTATATTTCTATTGAATAATGATGGTGATGAATTGAAGAGAAATTGTTTTTCATTTCACCAATCCATGGATGTTTATCTGGACTGTTGAAAACCAATATAACCCATAGTAGTGAGAAAATCAAAGCTAGTGTACCAAAGAGATAGTGTACATTTTGCCAATATGAGATATAAATTGGTCCAGTTTGAAGAGATGCGTGAAGCAGTCTTGGCTGTGAGATTATACCAGCTAGTGATTGACCAATAACAGTACCAAATATTACACCTTTTGACAAAAAGGGTACATGTTGAAATAGAGTAGAGATATTTATACACACGCGAAACAATATAGGTGAAAATTAACTCAGAGAAAAAAAATAAGTTGAAAATGTGGTTAGGCATACTGGCCTACTGTGGATGAATAGAATGAAAACATGTGTCACAGTTACTTCAACTGAATACTGGAGGTAGGAAAGTCAATAAAGTCTCTCGTGCACATTACTAGTGACTGAAACGCCATAAGCAAAGACTCTACACCAATCTGTCAGACTGTTTATGAAGTCTACTAAATGCCAAAGAGCACAATGGAGAAGCCACATTTATGAAAGTATTTGGTTTGTGCAGCTATTTTCCGCGTATCAAAAGCCTTAATAACCGATACCTATGAGTTGTTTATTTCCACGGTATTCACAACTTTTCACGCATAAAATGTAGTCGGATATTTAAATTCACTCCTTTACCTTCCGCAACTGAACAGTCTAGAAGGAAATATAACATACATTTAAACGTGTTTTAATAAAAAGGAAAGGAAGAAAGAATAGCAGTAGTAGTAACCATTCATAAAGTTTTGTCAGCTAACACAAACATACTGAATTCGATTAAAACAGGTGGAAAGTCCACAAAAGACTGAAAATTTGGCCAAAGGATAGAATATTTTTTACTGCAATGTTTCTAAAGTTTAAATTCTTTTCAAGATTATAGTCAGTGTAATCAAACAGAGAATTACTATGTGAGGTATAAATTGACTCAAAAGTCTGGAAAAGATACATAAACTAAATAGCGTACGGAGCTTCTAGAAACAACAAATCAGATACCCTTGATACATCTCCATTAGAACTGCTACTAGACACCTACCAATCATCAATGGTCAGGTGAAAAGCCCAAGCAAAAATTATATATATATGGTACTTCTGTACAGTCAACTTAATAATACGTCCTCTCTTGCTTTAATGCTTCTTCCATTTTACAAGGATTTGAAGGACCAGGAAGTATAGAATCGGGGAATTATTATTCGCCCATTCTTACACATATTAGAGATTAATGCCATATCACAACAATGATGCGAGAATTCGACTAAGTTAATTAATAAATGTGACTAGGAAGTCATAAGTTCATTGAAAGCTAAGTATACCTCTGTATCGATCATTATTCTAAAATGAGAAAAACCGTAATAATATTTTGCCATGTTAAGTTATAATCTAAAGTATATAAATATCATAATTTATTCGCTTTAGGTGAAAGAGATTTCAACAGTTTCATCCGAGACTTATTTCTTAGTTAACCTTTCAACTACTTGACTGTTTTTAAGTAGTTCAAGTTTTTGTTGTAAAATAATTGCCTTCGGGACATTTTCAAGAATACGAGAACTAGAACAGCCACATAAGAGAATAAATCGGTCATATAAAAATTATTGTGATTTCTAGCAATCAGATTTTCATAAATACGAAAGTGCAACTTTGTTCAGTAGTACTCTTCGAACTGAAGCACCTACAGATGAACTTTTATGGTTTTGCTCTTGCTTTATTATCAGCCATACCTCCACCGAAACACCAGTACAAAAGGATAAAACTAGTATTAGTGTCTACTTCCTCATTGAAACGACAGCCAAAGAAAACCGGATGCAATCTGAATACCAAACATTACTAATTCATAGTTAAGCTTGTAAATATGTTTGCTGCTTAAACAGAAACTGATTTGTCTCATATATGTTCATCTAATTCATTCCTCATAATGAGAAAATACTTCGCCTACATTGATTTAAAAGGCATTTTGAAAAAAATTCCATTTTCGTTTATTTCAGGCTTCAAGAAGTAATTTAACAGTAAGGTTGAAATAACTTAAATTGATTGGATTATATTCGAGTTACTTAAGCACCGAAAATTATGTTCTATTGAACTATTTTTTGTAGGTAACCCAAATTGTATACATTTTACAGGTATCACTAGAAATACCAGTCAGTCAGGCCCCACAAAATCTGATGGACGCATTCAGACAAACTGGATACCAAAAAATTTCATTGAGAAGAATATTCATTAACCTGCAGTTTAATGGTCAAAATTATTACAAGTAGATCTCAACGTTCATTAAAGAAGTCGTTTCCTGAGACCACTATGAAACTGATGCTCAGCAATAAATGTATCTTACCATCACATCTAAAACATAGGATTTCTCATGTGTCAATATGTATCAATAAATTCAACTGCTCCTCTGGAGTTAGATATTTAGAACGGACCATGAAAACTGTTTCAAAGTGTGTGGAAGAACATCTCTCGGTATAGCTAGCGAAAGGAGAGGTAAAGTAGACTATGAGTTGTATCCACCAATGAAAATGTCAACGTTAAGTTTGCTTTTACCATCATCTATAGGATATCAGATCGTATGACGTAAGGAATAAGAAGTCTCCTTCTTAAAACTGTTGAAGCTATTGCGATAAAAATAACTGGAACCATAGCTCTGGATGTAAAAACATCACAAACATCCTCTTATTTTTCTGTGACCATCCGCAAAGAAGGAGTTCAAATAATTCAGGTATGAAATGACCCAAATAACATGTTCACATTTTGAATTAACCTGATCTAATGTTGCTTTTTTTGTTGATTTCTGTTTTGATAATTCAATTTTGAGGTTTGTGGGGATTCATTTATTGATTTCAGGTTGGTATCCATCATGAATTGACATCACTTGGAAAAAAATCGGAAACCTGACAGCACTGAATTGCTGTTTGGTTCTAGTATGGGACTCCTCAACAGTCCGCACCCACGACCCCACATCACCAGAGATCTCATCCAGAGCCTTCAGGTTCCGCGGCCACCAATAGGTCAGAATCCAATGGTCCATAATTCCTACTTCTATCAGTTCATGATATAGCGCGACCTCCATCCAACCTCGACGTTGTGTAACTTTCCCCATATACTCTATGTCACCCATCAGCCATATGATCTAATACCCCATGCTAACTCAGTGAATGTTATGATTTTTAATTGGTAATTGGTAATCCACATACCTCTTAATCGTTTTATTCATTATTTGTCCGAAATCCTGTTAAATAAACTGTTGAACACTTTCAACACTGAACCTAACTAACCGTACAGATACCTGTCAAAAAGTCAAGTTCGATGTGTATACACTTCCTAGTGTGAAATATATAAGTATGTATAAAGTTTTAACAAAACTCATCACCTGAATTTATGACTCCTCAGTGGTGTGCACCTATGACCCTGTGTGAAAATGACTGGCTTGCCACTGGGCCTGACCGATATGGGCTAGATCCCTCATGGGGTAGTGAGTGTTCACTAACAAGAAGCAGGTGTTCAGCGCTTTGAAATAGTTCTCCAGCTACTGTGAATCAGCGATAGAAACTACTTTGAAATCAATAAGTCCCAACAAGTCAGTAATTAGGATAAATTATTGTCACTGCATACTAATAATGAAAATTATTCAACTTACAAAGTACGTATGTCTAGAATACATTTAAAGTAACATTGGTAGTATGATGGCTACTTAAAATTTGCTTGACAATTCAATAGTTTCAAATAACTAGTAATTTATTTAATATTTTAATTGCATAGTTCATTTAGTAAACAAAATATTGTTTATGTTTGGCATATACTTGCATGATACAAACGAATGTACACATATCGTTAGACTATCTCAAGGAACTTTCATTAAGCAGAGTAAATTTACTGGAACGTAGTGCTAACTAGCGCTGCATGAAAAGCTAGTTAATCAGTAGGGTTTGAACCACGGGTTTGGTTTTGTAGTTCAATAAGGTAAACACTGTATAATTAAGCCCTAAAGGTTATTCGTTTAAACCCTACAGTGACCCAAGTTTTATTTGAACTTTATTTATACCTTTATTCATATTTTTAAGAGACAAAAAGAATAAGGCGAAAAATGCTCCAAACCTGAGAAAACGAATGCTGTAAATCGACTTTTTTCACTTGGTGGAGACCAGTTTCCAATTAGACAGGCTGTATTTGGCATCATGACACCCTATGGAATAGAAAGATAGAAAATAAATCAAGTAAAAATTTGACAAGAAATTTACAGGGAAACAGTATGATGTATTTCAAATAACATATAAGATTTACGAGACAGTCATATTTGAGATAATGGTTACTTTTTATATATGGAAAAGATAAGAAACATTTCCGATAAGGGAACTTAAGCAGTCACGAATTTATTAATGATCCATACGTTTTTGTCACAGATCCTGTATTAATATGATGGTTAGGAATTAGACTAGTTCGCAACTAGCACTGATTGACCAGATTATGAACTTCAGTACATTATTCTTGAAAAGTATGAAAAAATCTTGTAATTATCCTAATTTTAATAGTCTGGTACCACTCAGCTGCAAAAGAAATCTCATTCACTCACTCTGTTCAAGAATCTATAAAACATGTTCAGAAGATACGGTGGATGTTGAAATCGAGACTCTTAGAACAATACTATGTAATAAAGCACACCCTATAAAATTTATTGATAAGAATCAGAAGAAACGAACCACTCCCCATCACATTACGGTCCCTAAGAAAATCTTAACCATGAATCTAGAATTCAAAAGAGACACTACAGCCAAAGTGCTGAAAAATAGTCTGTCTAGATGTATCAATAGTAGCTTCTATGCTGCCAGACTGAGATTGGTATTCTCCAACCACCGTCTGATTCGTCAATGCATGAAGGATAGGCTCCCACTTATATCCCCATCTATGTGTATCTACAGGTTCACATGCTTTTGTGGAGCTGACTACATTGGGCGTTGTAAGTGGAGCCTCCGAAAACGTGTTGCCGAATGTTACCCGGTTTGACTTACCAAAGGCTAGCAAAGGAAAACGACTTCATCCATATGTGAACACCTAGTGGAATTAGGTCATTCAGCATCCCAAGATTCAACCTTCAAAGTAATTCACAAAGTTAAACTGAACTACTCCAAAGGTTTACTTTTCCACCACTTGTGCATAGCTGAAGCATTAGCTGCACATGAACAAGAGCTAAACTTTGCATTCAAAAACGTTTTGTGAAACCACTTTCTCTAACTTGGCCTTAACAACTCATTTTGTTGATTTTGTCAATTTCAATTCACTTTGATATACTTCTCTTCTATTTTCATCATGATCACCAATTTTCACTTCATTGACAACATTTGACTCACATTTCACTCTTCAATATCAATTCATTCCTTGTTCATTGACCTACTTTACACATTTCAGCTTAATTATCGCCGTTATACAATTCTTTGACAACACTTGTCGCTTATCTCACCACTTGTTATCAATTCGTTCCTTCTTCAATGACCCATTTTGTATTTCTTCCACTTGAACAAATACCACTCACCACCTACTGTATATTTTCGATATTGACTGAGCAACTCTTTGTAGTGCAATTATCTGTCATTTTACCGATTGTAAATACGACTGTACAGCTTGATAGTGAAGTCGTTGAAAAGAAATATTTCTTCTTAGCTGAAACACGTATTGTTCCTAATTCTATGTCAAACATCTATGCAAGTGAAAGTACTGTGTAATTTTTGGATGAGACATTTTCTAAGCTTATAGTTCTTATATATGCGGTCAGCTGATCAATTAATTAAGCTTGATGAAAAGTTGGTTTCGTTGTCGTATTAGTACAATTTGTTAACAAGCACGTGAAGACAGGAGTAAGACAAAGCTGCCTACTACCACCCATAATCTTCCTGATTATAGTCAACTGGATCATGCAGCAAACCGTGAGGAGCGAGAAGACGAGCATACACTGGCTGGACCGATGAAAAGACCCCAGAAGAAGATTTGGATTTTGCCAATGATGATTTGTGTCTAACATCTTGTGACACAAACTCGAAGATGTACAGGCAAAAACTAACAAGTTGACAGAAGAGACAGGGCAGCGAAGACGGCACTTCCTTCAGGTGAACGTAGAGAAGACAGAGTTGAAGATACCCAACCAACATCACCAACATCAACAACAAGCTCCAGTCACCATTAACGGGAGAAACCTAAATGAAGTAGTCTCTTCCACCTACCGAGACAGGGCGGCATCGTCTCAACTACATGCGGCGGCACAGATGAGGATGTCAAAACTAGGATCGGGAAAGCAAGACAGGCATTCATTAATCTGAAACCAGCGTGGAGATCTACTGCACTCAGCACAAAGAACAAGATTCCGATTTTCAACATCAATGCCAAGTCAGTGCTGCTATATGGTTCAGAAACTAGGCGCGTCACGAAAAGCATTTCCAACAAACTACAGACATTCATCAACAGCTGCCCCCTATGATCACTCGGTACTGACACAGAAGATCAGGTGGACAGAAAGAACAAGCAACAAGCAACTCTGGCAACGAACCAACCAAGAACCTGTCACTCGACAAATATGCAGAAGGAAGTGAGATGGATTGGGCAGGCACTGAGAAGACTGATTGGGACATCACGCTCCAGGCACTCGAGTAGAATCCAAAGGAGAAACGACAAGTTGGGCATCCGAGGCAAGAGTGACATGGAGGAGATGGTGTGAGGAAGAAATGAAAGCTTGTAGGTAGTCGTGGAGCCAGGTTGAGAAGACTGCACAGAAGCGAATGAAATGGAGGCGTGCTACTGAGGCCCTATGTTCCACTAGGAACCCAAAAGAAAAATACCATCATAATATAAGTTGAACATTCTTCCCGTCAATTATCAAGTGCATAATACACAATCTGATCATATTTTAAATCCTACTTTGTGCTAAGTCAGTATCATTTGATGATATCCACTAAAATGGTTGAGAAACTCGAAGCCTTATGAGACTCCCTATATCCAATTTAGTTATTCTACTTTAGAGAAACTATTTTAGTGAATTTAATAGTCTGAGGACTGACTTACCTCAGAAAGCAATATCATTGGAAGGATTGAAACTGAAAAACCGGTTAGTACTATGTAACTATGCTGTGTTACATTCAGACTGCTTAGTGTACACATAGAACAATTAACGGAAAACTTCAGATGATTAAAGATATCTTCAAGGTGACTGATTCAACTGAATGGTATCAATGAGGGTGATAATCTACTTTTTCAAATGAGGTCTAATGAAAGTCTAATGAGTTATACACCTTCCGAGTTGATTGTTTTAAGAGTAAAATAGGTAGGTAACTATGGAAGACACCTGAAGTCGATCAAATTATGAAACTCATTAGCTGTAGTTCAGAACAAATAATTGTTGTGGTATCGCTTTCGTCGTTCATTCTAAGAAGTAAAATCAATGGATAGTACACTTAGCAAGTATCATTTATGAAGTAGCAGGTTTTTGAACACCATGGTACACAAAGTTGTTTGCTAATAAGCTAGAAGAAATAAGGAAAATTGCAACAGACGATAGAATGAACAAAAAGGTTCACAAGATGAGGTCGCAGTGAATTCTCAAACATTTACAACCTAAACAGAACAGTTCTCTCTCCTTGTAAGCAAGTACTTTTGAATGGGTTAAGACCTGTATTCCTTACTTATTCGGATTTTTCAACAGAAGATATTTGTATGTAATTCAGTCCTACAGGAGGTCAATTGCTGCTCGAATAGCTCAGTGGTTATGTTTCTGAATGTACCAATGCATGACACAGGTTCGAATCTCAGGCATAAGATTTTATGATTTAACGTCATCAGAAACAGTATTTCTAAGCGCTTCATGCTACAAATAGCAACGAGAATGCAAACTGCTCGACTTACGCTCAAAACTAAGATCATGTAGATTTCTGTATGAATAAATCAGAGTAAATTTGTCATTGAAAATGTCTTCAATGCACACAACCATGTCAAACTGACTATTTAGTTCGTTGGATGATGATGAGTGGTGTCAGATGGTTAGATGCGATTGGAAGGAAACCTTGCTAGAACTAGATATCTTGCTTGCTGGCACTCATCAGCAAGGTGTATCTACAACCTCGGGGAACTAATGTCTCCCTAGTGCTGGAGTAAATCACGTTAACACTGAGTTATTCAGGTCGACGTGGGCCTCCTATAAGACTGGATTAGGTGCATCAATCGGTCACTAATGTTTAACTAATTTCACGTCATCTAGTTTTGTGTGCTGACCGAATTCTGTCGATCATATTACAAGGTGTTCACCAAGTTGGGAGATTCAGCATCACGGTACGCTTTGATTGATGTTAGTTGGATGGAGTGAATCGGCAGGAATCCCTGTTTGACTTCTATTTTATGCCTGTTGGCACCTGTCAGCAAGATATATCTGCAATATCTAGAAAGAACTTCATTTTGTTTAAATCATATGCGATTAAATAAGCCACATTCTATTCAAAAGGTTAGTGGAAATAATGGTAGGCAATATATTCACACTTACAAGTAAGATTCATTCATTCTGAAAGGAGGGAACTGTGGATGTACACCTTGATTTCCACATGAAATATGAAATGTAAAGCATTTATTACCTTCTTCTTGGTACTCAGATAGTTCTTCATCCGTTTTCAATTGTTATACTAAATTATGCTTTAAGAATTTCTTTAGTTTTGAAGAGAGATGAAACAAATTCAGCAGTTTGCTAGCCCTCTAGGCCAGGATTGTTTAAGCCAAATGACTTTAAAGGGTTCCCTAGAGACTGCTGAAAAGATTGTTTCCACATGGAATAGGCAAACCTAGTTAGTTGTTGTAGTATTTGAGTGACTTTGAGTGCCATCTTAACAACTACTCAGATAACCAACTGCATTCCTGTACTTTATAAAAAATTACCCTTCAAAGTAACCCGTTTAGGCCCAACAATCTGATTCATCTACTTGTGTATTTTGTAATAATTTGATTGGATAACTTACTGACTTGTTCAACAGACTAATGATATCAGTCGCCTATTAGTTATTTTCCCACCGAATGATTATTTTGATCAGAACGAAATAAACATTTTTTCACAAAGTAAACAAGTTTTTGTAGTCGCAAAGAAAATGTTTTCTTTGGATAATCTTGTGACCCGGAGAAGCATACGGTACCAAAGAAGACATGCATTCATTTTGTGCAGTT